TTAGTTTGAAAAGCTAATTTTCACATTGCGAGACCTAATTGTTTTGGTCATGTGCTTAAATGTTTAAAAGATTTGGAGTCAAACTAAAGACAGATATGTAATGTTAAAAAAAATATTAAAATAAATAATATTTCTCATGTGGGTTAGAAAATTATATGTCAAAAATTAAAAACGTACCTGCAGGTACTGTTTAATGAGTTGACGACCTTGCTTCCACTGTGCTCTCTCAGCAGGTTCTGGTTCAGCAGGGGGCTCCTCAGGAGGTGGACGCACATCACCCTGCTGTAACTCCACCCCATACTTGAGCTTATGAAACTTCGCCCTCTCCTGCTTGAGTGCATATTCCAGCATCTTAATCCGCCTCACCAGGTCATTTTTAAGATTTTCTTGGCCCTTCCTCTCACCTTGGAGGAAGGCAATCCGCGCCTGTGACCACAATAAATTTATCTCATTACAAAATGCAACAGCCTGTTTCCAAATTTCTTTTTTTTTTCTCTAAATATCAAATACAATGTTGTTTGTTATTTATCCCAATAAATAAAATCATACAGTTCAATATGAAGTCCAATATTATTATTTTTTTGATTTTCAAATAAGATTTCATAACACTGTATGTACTTACAATAGATATACACTTTTCATAAATAACAATCTTCGAATACTTTTAAAATTTTGAAATGACTAACTCATAATAAAGAACTTAAGTATTAGGTATATTTATAGGACACAATATCTAGAAATAGATGTACTTATGATATGTGCCAACACTTATGACATTTCTTAATCAATCCTCTTCACCTTATATGAAAAACTAATGAATATATAATTAACATTACACAAAGAAAGAGTTTTATCTAGACCAAACAATCAACATAATCAATTCAGAATATAAAATTGTTATTTGTGGAATAACAGATTTGTATATCAGGTTTAATAAGAATTACTTAAAATCTCAATATTTAGCTTAATAATAAGCTATGAACCAATTAAATTGTAAAAAATATCAATGCTATGTCAAAATATTGAAAACTTATATTAGACACATATTTTTTAATAAAATATATCAGGCATGATCTATATTTATCTTCATTCAAATTATACTTCTTATATTATAAAATCAGCTGTGAGAATACATCCACAAAATAATAATCTATTAAGCATACCTTAACTGATTTCTTTTGTATTCTGAGGAAATATTTAAATATGAGATATTAAATTTATAATTTTTCAACAAGATGATTAAACAATGATCTTTGAGTGTATATTTCGAATACAGCTGATTGGAGGGTGATTGGAAGCTGGTTAAGATCATAAATGTAAAATCAGCAATATTTAACATATTACTCTAATAATTAAATTACCAGGTATATGAGTAAATTATTAAAATGATTTATAACATAATTATGAAACCTAAAACTAATGCCTGATGTAAAGAGAATTTGTAACTCAGATCTTATGTACTTTATAAATCTGTTGAGAAATACTAATGTCCCAATCTAATTTGTTTTACCTATATTGAAACTGTATATCTCTGATACACATATTATTATAACTTGTACTAATAAAATAATTATTTTTTGTAATTAATATGTATTATATAATAATGCAAGTAATTATATCTTTATTATTGTTAAATTTATTCTCATATATGGTTCTCACTAATAAGTTTGAGCATAGGAGGGCCATTTTTCCATTATTAAGTCATGTTCACCAAAATGACAGAAATGAATACAACATTTAATTAGTCATTGACTAACACTGTTCCATGACAATAAAGCATTACAAAGAATAAACCGTTGACAACATTTACTATATATATTTCAATAAGAGGAATATAAAACAATATGAAATGCAATCAGTCATACGCAAATTTGTTTTGATGTTTCAATAAAAAGTACAAATTTGCAAATGTGAAATTAAAAATACGTCGTGTTAACGACATTCCAATTCGGTATTGAAATAGTCGTTTGTAAGCTACAATATGTCAATGAACTTTACTTTATTTACGATAAACAACAAGAAAATAAAAAAAATACCTCAAATTCTGCTCTGTCCACCTCCCATTGTGATCTCTCGAGCTCGAATCTCGCCCATTCGTGTTGGATGAAGTGCAAAATGCCCGGTATTGAATACTGGACACTTTGGCTAGGTTCGTCATTTTGTTTGTTATTTACACTGACTCCGATTTGAGATCCAACTTGCCCTCCGTTGTGATGAGATACGGAGCTATCATCCATGGCTGTGGGGATTTTCATGACATGGCCACCATTACCATTACCGAACTTTACTTGTCACACACCTATCTTAAAGAACTACGAAGATGAACTATGCGACACGAAATGCTAACACATTATTAAAACTATATTTCAACTAATGTTCACGTATGTGACACCATCTAAAATATTTTTTATCGACGAATTCATGAATGACAAAAATTATTGCATGACGGAAAGAAAAGTCGCAACGACGTCCGTCCGCTACATTGCTTTTACTTTTTTTTCAGTGTTGCCATGAAGTAATAATTAATTACACATATGGCAGAAAGAAAATGTTTTTCAGTGCATTTGTAAAATTAAAACAGTTTGGTAGTTTTCTTAAGATATACTCCAAGTAATTTGGCCATAGTTTTCTTTATGTACTGTAGATTTTTTAACCAATTTACCGCTAAGTATATTTATATTCTTTCAAGATATGTTGCCAGTTTTTCTCACTTTCAAATCCGATTCCATTCACTACCATTTTCTAATACTTCCCCACAACCTCAACTTAAAAATTAACTTAAGATTTCAAACATCATGTTCCAACTTTACGGTTAGAGCGGTGGCTTGACCACCGGCTACTGATACCCGCACTAAACCATTAGTTGTTCCACTTTTTTTTATAATGCTTGCATAAAATTCATTATGCTAGTTACCTTGCTCCTCCGCATGAGAGAGAGCACGCCTACCCTTGAGCAACCTATTCACTTGGTCCTTATGACCTTCGGAAAAAACGAACTTCGGCAAAGAATTCCAATCCTTATTGGTTCTGATGAAAAACTGTAGTCAAATCGCTTCTTAACGTGGCTTTGAAATATCCACCATGAAGCGGATACATTTTGCCGATTGCTTGCTGGTATGATAGAAATGACAAGGAGGGAGGAGGAATCAAGTTGAACGGTTCCCTGGCTCTCCGAAATCTATGCAGTTAACAATCTCAACGCTTGCAACTTTGCGCCTTTGAATTCGGGCCTTCACAAGTGCATCGTCGTTGATGAGTCTCATGACACTCCTCTCAATGTGTGTCGAATTCGTATAAGAAGCGTTTAGTTAAATCGCATAACAGTCCATTTTATTAGTAATTTATATAATTTATGACTCAAAAAGTAACATTTTTTATCACATCACGAGACTTGCAATTTTGCGATTTTACGAGATTTGAACGAAAAAATTGATACCTAATAAAGTTTGAAATAATACTCGTTGCCAAAAGCTAGCAGTTGTTATATTACATCACATCTCAGCCTATATTTTTTATGTCAGGCACTGATCACAAACGATTATACGGATTACATGTTAGTAAGCAATCATCGCCGCCTATGGACACTCGTATGTAATGCTAAAGGAGTTTCTACAAGTGCATTGCTGGCCTCTTGTGGATTATTAAAGATTTAAGGATAAGGGATTAGAGGATTGAGGAAGGGGAAGGGGAGGATTGGGCCTCCGGTAACCTCCCTCACACAGCGAAACGCAATGTGACTGTAATTCATCAAACTCCAAGTGAACACGCACCTATTGTTATTTTATTGTCTCGAATTGCCACAATTTAACGGTTTAGTGCCCACTGCTGATCAAAGGCCACCATTCACCACGCTTGCTCAAGGCGGTTTGGCGATTTCTAACTTATAAATTAAAATAACTAGTTCAGGCTTCCTCTCTATGTTTTCCTTCACTGTATGTCAGTAGTGTCTAAATAATCATCGAAAGTAAACATGTAGGTACACAAGTATTAATTGGAAAAAGTCACATTGGTGCTGTGTTTCGAACACACACATACTTATTTTACACATACACGCACCCATATTTATTTTTATATAATTATGAAGATATATAAAATGTCTGTTGTAGGTAAATAAGAAAAAATCTACCTCGTAGATCAGATTGTGGATATTAAATTCTGGGTCAGTGGGTAGCAGGAGCGGGCGGATTTTTAGGAGTTGGAGAATATCCTTAGGGGCGCTATGAGAACCAAAGAAAACAAAAAAAAAATCCTATTTTAATATGATAACATTAATCATTTATTTGCTAGTTATTCTAACATGGAATTCAATGGTGTTACCTACCTACACACAGATTATTATAAACTTTATAGTCAAGAAGTCAACTAGCCCAGCCGGGGTTGCGGGGTAAGCGGAATAAGGCACCGCGACCTCGGCCCAGAGCAGGAGAAGGAACAGGGGAGTTTTTAGTCAGTAAAAGTCTGACACTCCCTCCCGCCCGGCCCTGGGCGGGAGAAGTCATTTGATGATTTTCCCATCAGTAAAAAAAAGAAGCCAACTAGCTCGTGGCTTTCAGTAACACTAAAAGGTACGAGCTGCTTGTTGCCACCAAAAAATTATACAGGCTATAAGTACCTATAATATTTATTTACATCATGTTTAATGTTACTTGTTCTTATATTGTACCCTTTGGTCATAAAAATCATAATCATACATGATTTTTTGTAGCTGTCGTATTTCATTATTAAATTTTATTGTCTGTATACAGACACCTTACCATAAAAATACAAAACTTATGAAACTTTTTGATTTAACAAAGAGTTAAAATATTTTTAGTTTTTATTCGATATTTCATGACTACAATATTAATTTGTACAATGCATTTAGAAGTATAAAAATAAAAATAGAGGGTTAATATGATTATTGTCTATGGTTGAAATGCTTGCCTCTTGCCTGGCTCAAAACAGCTCTATTCTCTATTGTCCAAAAAAAGTTCGAATATATTTCTTCTTCCGGTAGCGTCTGGTGGAGTGGTGGTCGCCAGTCGCCATTTTGTTCGTAATATAATAACTTGTTCCGATTATAGTGATTGCGCTGGTGTATTTTAGAAAGAGGTAATTATAATAGTTTTAGTATGTTTTTAAATAATAAGAAATAAAGATTTAACTGTGATTGTGGTTAATTGTTCAGTTAGGTTCCTATAAACAGAAGCCTAAGCTTTTTACGCAGAGTCTACCGCTCAACTTGTTTTTGATGCCTACGTAATTTGTGTTTTAGGAAAAATGTCACGTTACGGTGACTGCAAAGTATATGTTGGAGATTTAGGTAACAATGCAAGCAAACCTGAACTTGAAGATGCATTTTCATATTATGGACCTCTAAGAAATGTCTGGGTAGCAAGAAACCCGCCCGGCTTTGCTTTTGTAGAATTTGAAGACCCTCGTGACGCCGAAGATGCGGTAAGTGGTCGAAACATGTCGAATTATAGTTGAAATGTTAAAATATGTTGAATAATGTTTATTGATTTCAAATGTTATATAGATACGTGGTCTGGATGGACGCACAATTTGTGGTCGACGTGCTCGTGTAGAGATGTCTAACGGCGGGCGAGGTTATGGCGGTCGGGGCCCTCCACCACGCTCTCGCTTACCTCCTAGACCGTATGATGACCGCTGCTATGATTGTGGAGACAGAGGACATTACGCTCGGGACTGCACACGCCGTCGGCGCCGCAGGTGACTTATCTAATCATTTTCCTAGTCTTTGTGTTAAGGAAATCCTGCCTTTGGAATGGAATCTTTAGGGTAATAAAATCTGTTTCCTAAAAAATTCAAAACATAGATTAAGTAAGTAAATATTATGCTGAAATTTGTTTTGAAAACAAAACATCAATTATGCAAAGATTCCATCCCATTGTATTGAACTCACTTATACCAATGATAACTATGTTATAGGTTATCATTGGCCTGTGCGCCGAGAACGAACTCGTCAGTGTCTGCACTTCTTATTGTCTGCGCTACGTAGCTTTCTCCCCGCGGCGTGTACTCCAATTGAGTTGATTGCTTCGGTAACACCGCTCGCTCTGCGAACTACGTAGCTACAGCCTACGTGCACACTTCACTTGAGATCGTCATTGAGAGTAAAGTTCGTTCTGCGCGTCGCACCGCACGTCTAATGTAATCACTGCGTGCACTCAGTGAGTTACACATTACTATCCCATATTTGTGTTCAAAGAAAGCCTGTGCTGCTTGTTTTTAGGAAGGTAGTATGTTTAGAACAGATCAAGAGCTGAAATGAAGACCAGAAAAGTGAGAAAAAATCAACATTGAAGACAAATTCAGTATTGATATTTTATTATTATATTTCTCAGATTCACAGAACAACCGAATAGCTGAACATCACCAGAATAAATAGTACAAGAATATCACATGAACATTAGCTTAAAATAATTCTCATTTCATTCTAGAATGTCATAGATGAACCTGAAAATTCAGACAAAATTAATGTGTAAATTGTTTGTGCAGCAGTAGCAGCATGAAATTAAATAAATACCAAAAAATGGTTAAATAAATACCAAAAAATGGTAAACAGTGCTGAAACAAAAATTAAAGCTGTACTAAAACCAAATTTTGTATATTTTCAGTCGGTCAAGGTCCCGTCGTCGCACGCGCTCCCGCTCGCCGCGCTCCGGATCCCGTTCCCGCAGTCGCAGCCGCTCCCGCTCCCGCTCTAAGGCACGGTCTATGTCGCGGTCAAGATCTCGTTCTCCATCCAAAGACTCGAAAAAATCTAACTAAAAATATTACATTGTAATATACCTTATTTTTTATGTACACAACCTTCAACCTTCAAGAAACCTTTTGACAGTTAAATAAGGGCCAGTATGTATCTAACGCATGTGTCGAATAGCGCCCGAACAAATATACCTAGATACAATTAAACAACAACTTTTGACGCCCTACCAATGCTGATGTCACATAGTGTGTCGAGCTAACAGTCGTTAGATCCCAGTGGCATTTATTTGATAACTACTACCTACGTTCGGCACATGTTCCGTTAGTTATGAACCAACCCTTAAAAATTTATCATTCCTGTGTATGTGTATTGTTTTGATTTTATAAGTTGAAGAACGATTGATTTTGAGATCAATAAAGTTTTAAGAATATGGTCTCATTTTGATTACTAATACCTTCTAAGTTTTCTGCATTTAATCCATTTTATAGAAAAACTGAATGGGACTAACTGGTAGAGGTCAATACTGCAAAAACTTGAGTAACTTTAAATTCGAGCACAATTAGTTGCATAAATAATATTTAAAGTTAATAGTTGCAGAATTAATGGTATATTATATACTCCAAAAACAAACCTTTTAGTCTTGTACTAAAATTAAGTGTAGGGGAGCCAAGCTTCGGCACGAATGGGTCGGCTCGATTGATGCCTACCACAGCCATCCAGAAAACCGGCGTGAACCACAGCGATTGCTCTTACCGACATGTAATCCGTTTGGGAGTTTGCCTGCCTCATAAAAAAAATAATTTGATCCGGTAAAGATTGTCAATCCATCACGAAATTGTCCGAGATGTGATTTTTTTATTGCCAGGTTGTAAGCCGCAAGACCAGGACACCTTTTGGCAAGGGGGAAGGATTGGGTCTCCAAGGAAAATCGCTCACGCGTCGAAAGGAATCTAAACACAATGTAAGCGTCCATCACTGCGATTTAAAAATTGTTAATTGATACAACAAGGATAGATCCTTGATTAATTAATAAAAAAAAAAGTAGTAATTACGAGTAGTGTGGCATAACCGAGATCGTCCATCAAGGCGTCTCAGGTTCTATTCCTGGGGTAAGCAAACTTATCTATACTAATATTATAAACAGGTAAGTGTACCTATGTAGAGACTAATATTTGGAATTGCTGGTCGATTTCCAAAATTCGTTCACTGATAGATAGCTAGATGTTCCTGAGAGCTATAGGCATATAAACATCACTACGACCAATAGGAGCCAAGTAGCGGGTGAAACCGCGAGGCAGTAGCTAGTGTAAAGATGAATTTATTGATCAAATAATGTCCAAAGAGAGAGCAGCTATAAAGGATATGAAAAAAACGGACGTCATTGATAGTTTGTTTATTAACACTTATTAAAACGTTCTACTATTACACTTATTAAAATGGCGCCTTCAATGTTAACTTATTTATGCAAATTTTTCAATTTGGTTGCTATTGACTTGAGTTATTATTATGGTTCATAGAAAACTATCAAACAAACATCTGAATTATCATATGTGATAATTCACTCTTGAGATCATAATGTAATGATATTTAGTTTTATAAAATTCCAAATCAGAATATTTTGCATTATAATGATAATCGTATTATTGACTTGAATACAAAAATAACGCGATCAATAATCTCACTTATATAATCTTTAAACTTATAAGTAAATAGGTAAGTATATATTATGTATAATCTAAATTATATTTTTTTTTTTTGTAAAAACAGTTTTATACACGATTTCACTGACGAATCTGGGTCGTATGCTGTTATCAGTGTGTGACTTTCATTTGTAATAAATACAACAATTGCATTCCAATAAGACATTTTGATAACGGTTCAAAGCTGCTGTTAAATTATCAAGCAATGGTATTAAGTTTCATGCCTTTCATCTAAAAGAATTTCTACATTGGGTGAATAGAAACCAATTTCAGTTATAAGTTCGTTTCTTGGTTTTATAATACATAATGGAATATTAATTCGATGGATTAGTCTTAATTTAACCGACCGCATGGCCACTGTTGAGAAAATTCATAATACTTTCAAAAATTTTCTTTTAAGATCGTTGTCATTTAGCTGTGAATTTAATATTTTTCACCGTATTTCACAGCACTGATAAGGAGGTCGCAATCAGTTACAAAATATTATTTGTTTGTTGTTTTGTTGAATCCGTACCTAAATATTTGTAATTGGTACATTTTGGAATAAGTATGACTATCACAGTCGTAGATATTTTGGACGTGCTGTGGTGGATTTTTAAAGCTTTTGTATGTATGTGCTATTAAGATACTAACACACACTCAAATGATAATTAGATAGTTCTAAGATTCTACGGATATAATGCTGGAAGAAATTATCATCACCTTTTTATATCAAATATTTCACACCCAATATAATTCTTAGTGCACATTATCGTATTATCAGTATTTCTTTTGAATACTCAAGTCATTTGGCAATCAGAAGGATTGTTTTAAGATTATCTTTGCCTCATTAATTTTAGATGAATTACTTATGAAGCTTTAGTGGAAACTTTTTACATAATATAAATATAACTTTTACGAATTGGTTAGTCCTACTTACGATCTAGGTACTAGCAATTACATATCATCTCTTCTTACATAAAGAAAATAAACAGAAATTATTAATTGACGAGACTCGCACACTAATATACACGAAACAACACATTTCCAAGTAATAAATCAGTACTTAAACGCACTGAAATCATAAAGACATCCACTGTGGCAAATCATATGATCATGTTGTTTACTGAAATCAAATCAGCAGACATATTCATACTAACTTAATATATATTTAATTTTACATGATGTTTTGATTTGCGACCAGTAAATATAACTTACTTCTCATACATACAGTTATATAATTAACTTTAGTACCTGCTTCTATGAAATTTATTTAATGAATGTCTAGTTCTCCTTAGACACTATTTTGTATCAGATCTAAATTTTGTATTGATTAATTAGATAATTCCACATTATTTTATGAGAGAAAGCTGTGAAATCTGTCATAAACAGACAATAAATCCAATGATGTTGAGTAAATCATTTTTGCTGCACATTTTATAATATTGTTTAATATCCCAGGAATATCGAAACTTATGTTATTTTAAAAAAGCTGCAATAACGATCTAGATTTTTTTGACCATCTTTAAAAAAAATACAACACTCGAAATTTACCCTTTTAGCTTCAGTTCAGTTTGTTTTGGTAATGGTAATTTGCATGCTAGTTTGCAGTTTCATCTTTGAAACTGCAAACTAGCATGCAAATTACCATAATTTAATTTTTACTAAAATGACATAAGTCAGGATACTCTATGATTGTATTTCATTATAGAAACAGGTACCTAGCATATTTTCGTTTCTCTGCCAATTAACACTTTCCTGTTATTTAGAAAATAATTACAATACAATAACTAAGCCCACATCATGAATAGAACTCTTGTTATAAAGGCAAACAAGACAATATACTTTGCAGATTAAAATAACAAGAAATTAATCACTACACAAGAACCCTATTCTTTGAAATAGAATTCTTTGAATCATTGAAATAGATGTAGTTATTTATTTCATTGATTTATTTAAATAACTTTACTCTTATCTCACAATAACCCATTAAAAATAATGTAACAAAAATTAATCACATAATATACACAAATACGAAAACTCTAAAACGCTATACATTACTATCACATACATAATATACATCTCTATGAGAACTTTCCATGTATTAAGTCTGCATCTGATAAAAAAAGATAAGAATATGAAAAAATAAACTTTAGGCCAAACAATTGTTTTCTGTTTTAGTATTAATTTATATTTTTGGGTTAACTTAGGTGTAATAGATGCAGACTCAATATAAATTTGAATTGAGAGCTTACATAAGACTTCATAGTATTTTGTTCTCAACAGTCTCCAATTTCGAATCAGCTGTAATTTATTAAATCCTTCCACCATTGCTGCTGATCCATAAAGGCCCCGATCAATTTAACAACATCAAAATTTTAATAAGGGAAGAACATTTTTCCAATCTTTGTAAAATAACAAATATAAAAATATGTGTACAGAGTAATAACTCAAAACTCTTAAAAGCTCCTGAGAATCATTTTCAATGTTCATAAAATAACTGGGATTTCTAAACTGATTATGGTTTTATCACAATATTATCACAATAAAAATAAAACCAAATCAAGTAAAGTAAAGAACTTTTTAAATGATGTTAATGATAATTGTGCACAAGTCTAAAACAATATGGTATGTACCATGTACATGGGTACCAAAGCATTTTATTTGTACAATAATATTTGATCATATTATAACGACACTATAAAGCTATAAAACACAGAAGTATCAACTTACATTACATTCCTGTACATGAATACTTTCTTGTCGTATTATTATGTTCCCTCACAATACATTAGTAGAAACAATCATGAAATTGATAGACATTTGCAATCTGCAATTTTCGTATTGTTGATTCATCATTCAGCATATCATCTTTGGGTGATAAGTTTTCGATGCTGTTTAATATTTATAATTTATCATTGATTACTTCAGGTTCACAAGAAGATAAATTTGACTTCTGTTCCCATAAGTAATGGGTGTCACACATCGTTATTACGATCAATGTCTACTACTAGTAGACAAACTGGTTACCACAATGTTTTCAGCATTGCAACTTTACTGCTTTTTTTCAGGTTTCTTCACAGCATGCGCATTAACCGGGTACTTCAGTTCTGTTTTCAATTGTTCATTGTGTTCTTCTAAAGAGTTCACAGCATAGTGGAGGACAAGCTCGTTTAATGTTCTAAAACAGATTTAAAAAATATTAATGAATTAAAATTATAAAAGGTCTCTTTACAAAAAATTATTGGTAGTATAAGAATTACAATAGTATAATGTACTAAAATACACATACATATAAGTAGTTAATTATAGTGATGCTCAGTTTTATCAATATTTAACTCATAAATAATGTCAATGCCAAACATGGTTAAGCTATTCTCTGCAGTTGCTTTTCAAGTATGATTTACTTAGAATACAATTACTATAAAAATATTTAAACATGCTTACTCATATACATTATAAGGTTCTGCAAATCCATAACCTCTTTCAGTCTTAAAGATAATACAGTGGTAGACCATGTTGTTACAACAAATAGATAAAGCTAATTGACCAGTGGAATTAGGCCGAATTAAAAATGTGCCTTGAGGTTTTCCCATAAGGAGCTTTTCAGCTTCTTCTCTAGTACAATTAACTTTCCAACTACTCATTTCTCTGTGAGCATACAGTTCTTCCAGTTTGTGTATATTGTCATCTTCTAATAAATGCAAGTACTCATCTGTTTTTCCTCTTCCTTGTAGCCATCTGTAAACATAGGATTAAATAGGTCACACCAACTGTAACATATTTGTAGTAATTAAATAGTCTTATGCTATCATGAGTTAGATAGTAGGTTAATGGCCACTCACCAGTCAAAATTTTTAAAGGACTAGGGACAATGCCTTAACAAATTAAACCTTTACTTCAAGAGTTGCTCTAGCAACCATTTAGCAGGCAAGCTTACTTAAAAAATTATATGTATTATTACATTATTATCCTTTTTCAATCTCAAAATAACTATATTTACCTGCTACAGCAATACTATTGTTATACATAATCAAGTTTCCTTTAATTTGTGACTATTCACAAATTAAGCACTATTTTACATTCAATATCTATTATATATTAAATGTAAAATAGTGCTCAATTTCTAAAATAACAAATATAAAAATATGTGTATGGAGTAATAACTCAAAACTCTTAAAGCACTATTATTATTTTACATTCAATATCTATATATTAAATTTAAAATAGTGCTTAATTTGGTAATAATTACATTTAATTAACAGAATATTACTTACACTTTATATCGATCTTTTCTTTTGTAGAGATCTGTAACGTCAGACTTCAGTTTGGCAATTTCTCTCTCAAGAAGTAATTGAGCTGTGACTGTATCTTTCAAAATTTCATTCAATTCTGTTTTAGCTTTCCTTAGGCTATGGACTCTAGATATTAAGTTCCTATTATTTTCTAATACAGTATTCTTTTCATGTGGCTGTGCTTCAGCTTGCATCTTTTCTTGTAACTTTAAATGTTCTTCACAGATTCTTACTGTCTCTTTAAAGGCGTCTAGTGCTTGCTTTTTCCTATTAACTTCTTCTCTTAATATTGTATATTTGTAAGACCGGCCCTCAAAGTCTTTTGTTTTTAACACATATCTTTTGTGAATTTCCTTAAACTTAGTTTCAAGGGTGTCATCACTCATATTTTCTTCACCTTCATTTTCAACAAGTCTAGACAATGGGTACATAAGCTTGATATCAAGGCTACTATTGCAATGTGCCAATGAGAACTCTCTATAGAAGCGAACAAGCTCCACCACTGATTTGAAATCAAATGGTTCACAAAATCCATAGCGCCCCTCATGATTATAGATTTTGATAAGTTTGTTCATACCCCCTTTTCTCACTGTTAGAGTATAACCACTATCTTTGTTAGATGCGTTGCGCACCAGGAAGGTACCATCGCAAGTGTCTCTAAGTTTCTCCGTCGCTTCATCGCTGGAATGAACATTAATATCAATGAAAATAAGACTTATAATAATTTTATAATGAAATTCTTGTAAGTTAATCCATTTGAAACATAATATTTCTAATGGTACTTGCATTTTGGTATGAATATAATTACCTACACACCTAGATATGGTAAGTCTAGAATATTCAACTAATTAACATTTTCCATTGACACAAGAAAATCATAATAATAGAAATCTAATGATTAAAATGTTTGTATTTATTGTTATTGCTGTTATTGTATTTTGTAAATACAGGTTTACATAAAACTGGATATTATTTGAAGTATTTTTACATACTAAACATTTGTTAATTCCAATAGAATGACATTGAGTTGTGCAAGATGAAGTAAATTCAAATAGGTATACAGGATGACTAAATGAGACTGTCTTCATCCAGTTTCGTAATCAAACTTAATCAAGTTCATTAGACTATATTTGCACACCCAGGCAGTGTGATGTACAATGATTGATCAAAAAAATCATTTAAGTTAAAAAGACTATCAGTGAGATTCAAATAAGATCTATGAGAGCCTGGAAATATTTGTAATAGCTTTAGCATAAAATTAATGTTATATATATTTTTTAATTAATATAATTGCAAACTTACCGAGTGATATCACCCCAATACCATTCGGCATTCTCCAAACTCTCTTCGGCTGACTTTTGAGGGGCTCCTATTTCAACCATTATTTCATCACTCTTACTCAAAGTTCATGCATCATGAGATTATCACTTTAATCATCAACAACTAACATAAACTCAATACCCTTTATCACACTTGCCGAGTATTTTCGACCATTGTAGCGGCTATATCACCAAACTTCCGCATTCGAGGTTACAAAGAAAATCACTAACTAATTCTTACTCAAAACATTTTATACAACAATTTAACACTATTTTACGCAGAATTTAAATGTACACTGTCAGTCACAATACACCAAAACTTGAATTGCACTCCAAAAAAGAGGTATCTAGATCACAAAGGAAATGGGCAAAAGTATGATGATTGTTGCTATGGCACTATTACTTCCCTAAACCTTTATATACAAGTTCTTTTTGAAGGACATCAAATTAACATGTTGGAAAAAGATATTTTAAATTCATGTTTTATACAAATAAATGAATAGAACTCCTTCACTTCCTTTTTTCAGTCAAACACTAGCACCAACCCCGTCCGCCATCTAATCGCCATTAAATTAAAAAAAAGTTTGCAGCTTGTGAGTGATGTCTATATAAATCGATGCAACCCAATGAAAAATTAATCGCCTGCCAATATTACTAACTAAAAGTCACTACTTCAATATATGATAGAAATTAAATCATGATTTGCCCGGTTTTTTTTTTCAAAATAAAATCCGATAAGATTTATTATTATATAGTAATATTATTTTACTCCAAAAAAAGGAAACGAAAAAGATCTGATGGAAAAGTAACAATGACAATGGCAACACACCTTTCTGTAGACGGGTGGCAACTGGCAACTGGCATGCGAAGTGTCTTTGTAAATTACGTGCATTTGTATAATCAAAAATGTTTTTTTATTTTTATTAGCTTGTGCATTGTGAAATTAAAGTAAAATCTAATCATGTGTTATTGAATTGAAACGTCGGAGTAATGAAAATACAAAAAAGGACGTAGGTTCGGAAAAAATCGGTGCTTTACAGAAATGTTATTTTTCTGGGGACAAATTCACCGATCCTCAAAATGTGTTTCAAAATTGGCACAATAATATTTTGCACATTTTTCATATTTGTGACTTCTACGCACATAAAAGGGGAGTTTTCAACAAATGATTTTTTCAAGTTCCTAGTGAAATTTGGCTTCCAGAAGACAGATATTCATTATCAAAAGGAAACATATGGATATATTTTCGGGAACATTACCGCGGATGTTCCTTTCAAATATCCCATAACATTTGCTGTTTTAGACAGAAGCCACTTTTTACACTATTATAAGAGCCGGGATATCATTGATAAAGAGCTAGCATGTCAGGTTATGTTTCAAAATCTGAATGGAACAGCTTACCATCCCAAATGTAACGCCTACGGCCAAGATCTATTTAGAAGAATTCCATGTCCTAAAGGTGGGCTATGTGTAGATGAAGACACACCTTGGAATGTGATAAAGAAGAATCAATTTACATATGTTATCCAAAACTCAGGGCAGCCAAGGTATTTTAAAATTAATAACAAACTAGTTATTTTTACATGATTTCCTGGTAATTTCTTTTAAAATTAATGTGACTTGGTTTCTATATTTTAAAAATATTTTATAATTAAAAAGTTTAACCTTCAGCATTTTGGAAACTCATCAATTTATGATATATTTTTTAAATAACAGTTTCATTTCTCTCAGGTTTTGGTATGTATCAATGGTATCCTGTTACCTTGATGAAGTAACTTGTACATGGCATCACTACACTGGAGCACCTTCGTCAGACAACAAAACCCTAACAAATATACCACAGATTATAAACTATGATTTTTGGCTGGTCAATGGAAGTCCAAATTTATCATTTTACAATACACTGCTGTACCAGTTCTCATTTGACAGACAGAACACTTTAGAATTGTATCTGGTGTTCTGGCTATGCTATATAATCCTATTACCTGTCCAGATATATGCAGTCAGGTAAGATTTCAATCAATATTTTTCAATAATAATGTTTGTATGTTGTGTTGTCTTCACACCATAATTTACAAGACAATTAATACATTTTCAGCGATTTTCACTCCAAAAAATTTAAATCAATTGAGTAAGCAGTATTTTGAATATTCTTGTAATTTATTTGTATGTTTTTATGTCAAAAGCTATGTTTATAAGTGCTTCCTATATTCATGTTTTCAGATATCTCATTGAAATATAATCTCCATGTAATCTGTATTTATATTAATCATGTTATGGCTACAGTATTATATAAATTGCATTATTGCTTGGAATTATGTTATGAATGTTGTTATTATAATTGGACTGTTTTATTTCAGAACACAAAAGCACCCTGTGACTAAGTTGTTTACATTCAGTCTTGTTCTGGAGTTCATTGCCTTGTGCTTCAATGTGCTACATACGGTGAAATTTGCTGTGGATGGTGTAGGGTTTGCTGGGCTTGCTGCAGCTGGGGATATCTTGGATATCATGAGCAGAGTGAGTTACAATATTTTGCTTGATTTTGGTTGATCAGTGATCAATACTATTAAATATAGCATTATCATTATTTTCAATCACCATGATTTATTAAGAATGCTATTAACAAAATAACATTCAAGGTGCACTCTTATGGTATAAAACTTTGAAATTTTAATGGTTCATAAAACATTAAAGTTCATGCATACTTCAATTTCAAAGAAGGTTAGTGTGTATCACTCAATATCATTTATTCATTCATCTATCTACCCTATCTTATCTGTGCTATGTACTCAGAATAATTTACAGATGTTGTTCATATTGACCTTTTTGCTGAGATGGGCTTATGTTTTTTTTTAGTGAAGAACTTTTATAATTTCAAGAGTTGTTGAAAGGATAGGTAGGTACCTAAAAGTAGAAATTACAAAAGATTTTATAGAGCCCTTGGAGTACATAATATGTACTCTAACCATATTCCATTAAAGAGATTCTACAAAGAATCTAGCTGTGTCAAATTATTATGTATTAAGTATGAAAAAAAGAATTGTAGTAGGCATAGGCTACATGTATATTATATATAAAAGATAAAAATATATACATGAAAAATATGGGTTTCATATGCATATTTTTGCACCCTCATCTGCCAAGTACTAATGTGAATTTGACATTCATGAGAAGGCGAAGCCTTAATCTCAAGGCCAACACAACCAAGTCACATATATGTGGAATTTGAACATGATTAAAATAATTATTTTAAATGAAGTCAGTTGAAACAAAATTTTTGAATCTAAATATTTTTGTAGTTGTTGTTTATACACCTAAAACATTAATGCTTACTTGTATGTCATACCTTGTATTATCTGGTTGAGGTTTAGGTAATTGGTAATGATGCTATGTTTCTAATATTTATTTCTTATTTCCTCTTTTATTATCTACCACCATGTTCAAAGTAATATCACAACTTGACTTAATTCTGTTTTAATATTTGTAATGTATGTGTAGGAAAAATATTTAAAAATTTACACTTATTTACATAAGTTATGTTGGTATTATCCTCATCAAATTATATCGTTGAATGTGAGTGTGCACTGCACATTTATGGAAAACCCTACATATTTCCTTGTTCTGACATAAAGACTGAAAATTTTACTCCTAACAGAATTCGCGAATATTCTACTTCTAATTATACTGAAAAGTGGAAATAAACTAATAATGTATTTTCTTATTCTATTGACTAGCCATATAGAATTTTAAAATAAAACTATATTGTTTTATGTGAGATTGGTTATTCATTTTTGTATCTTATCACTAACTGAAATAGCAAAAATGTCTATTGTAAATTATCTGCCATAAAACTTTATAGAATAATAATATGATTATTGTTCATTTTCAGACACTTTTCATGTTGCTCCTACTTTTGTTGGCAAAAGGTTGGGCAGTGACTAGGCTGGAGCTCACATACAAACCATTGGTTTTTGGAGTTTGGCTGGCTTATGGAATAGTACATATTCTACTGTATGTGTGGAATACTGTAAGTATTGTTTTTTCAATGACAAATGAGACAATTATTTTCAAAGTAACCCTACAATTTTACACAATTTATAATTGTTTGTTAGTGAAAGAGTTAAAATGTGTTATAAAAATACGCTTTTGTTCTGTACTTAAAAATGAACAAGAATTCCATGAAAATTGCTATAGTATATGTAATACATGTTTAAGGTAAAGTGCAATGGATATAAGTAGGTGAATTAATAGAAATAAAATTTACAAGTCTCTTTGTGAACTGTGTACTTTGCGTTTCCAGACTGAAGTGGATATAATAGAAGAAATAGATGAATACCAGACATGGCCTGGTTGGTTGATCCTGGCTCTTCGAGTAGCAATCATGACTTGGTTCGTACTTGAACTACGGTATACAATGATGTATGAACACAACATGCCAAAACTTAATTTCTTACTACACTTTGGCGCTTCAAGCCTTGTGTGGTTTGTTTACTTGCCGATTATAGCGCTTATTGCGCTACAGATCAGCCCTCTATGGAGGTTCAAGTTTTTATTAGGTAAGTTTCAGTTTCTCATAGTAAATAGAATATCAAACTATCAAAACTTGAATAAATTACCTAGTAATGCTTAACTAAACTACAGTAAAATACTAATAATTAGTTTAGTTAAGCATTTGACTGCCGACTAAAACTGTAGAAGGCTAACCCTCCGCTATGTTCAAGTTTTTCAAATATTATTTTTGTACTTATTCATATCTCAGTCAGAATTTAATGGTTTGTTAATTATGCTTAACCACATATGTGGCTATGATAATCATTGTAAAATTGTCATTCTTAATATCCTTGGGTTAAAAGTAAATTGATTGTGTTAAATCTGATTTAATTATTACGTAGTTGCATACAACAACATTACTAAATGTAAGGGTACTTCCGAATAATGAGTAATTAACGAATTAATTTCCACTTAAAGTACGTACATAACTATGTACGTTTGTAATTAACGCGCTGTGCTGTGACGCCTTTCTAAACGAGCAAATAAGGTTGGAATTAACCTAGCTCGACTTAGTCAAACGAACTTCGAAATGTAGTTTATATTCTATACAACACAATTTATACTTTGATGTAAAGGATATACTGTTTGTTTTTCAGGGATCACATATTCAGCGGATTGCCTCGCTTTTTGTGTGATGGCGCACTTACTGTGGCCGACACGCTCAGAACAGTACTTATTACTAGCGCCCTCTGATTATACAGGTGTGTATTCAAATTGTATCTATTTAATTATCAGCAGTGGCTGTGGGCAACCGGATGCTATGCGACGTGTCGAGGTTTTGATTTCTCCACGGAACAATTCTTTGTGTGACCCACAAATTGTTCCAAGCCAGGTTGTAGTTGTTTGTGAATTTGTATGTTCATACATCCACGAAATAGAAAACAAAATTTCGATAAAGATATCTAACATTTTGTTGGGGATTAAAGCCTAGGAACAACTTACAGAACATTATTAAATGTTTGCTTGATATTGTTTCTCTTATAATCTAATCTTTTTTCGTTTGTTTGCCAATGGAATTGTTGTAATGTAATCATATCACTACAATAATAAATTAAAGACATAATGCACGGATGTACCTAGAAACTAAATAGTTCGAAATTATTCCTTTTTTAAATTTCGCTGGCTACGCAAAAAAATCGATTGTCGAATCGATTTTTTACTCCGCTGTGTTTTGGGGAACACATTCCTGATGCTTTGTATTGCGTGATCATTTACAATAACCCTTGTTGCTATTAATAAAATAGTGCCACATAAATACAATGTTCTTTCGTGTTGTGCTATTGCATTGTAAGCTTATCCACACAGTGTTATCATTGACTATTTTGCAAGATCTGTGCTTGAGAAATGGTGGGCGTATCAATGACCTCCGATACATAATGTGAATAACCATTTTCCCATGTTTCTCCCGAATTCATACCGAGTGCCAAATAGATATATTTACGTTCCTAAAACACACTTATACCTTAACTTAATAACTAATGTCTGATACCACATTAGATCTACTGGTATTAATATCAGCCCATTCCGAAAAAGAACCTATCATATTATATTGTCGTGAAAAGTAAAATAGGTACTAGAATATTATTTCAAAGTCAAAGGATGTACTTATAATAAGGCTACTTACTACAGTAGTTAAGCTAGTCTTTATTAGTGTAAAAAGATAATTTAGATTGAATATAAATACAATTTATCAACAAAAAAATTAATACCATAATAAAAAAATATCATCCATGTCTTAAGGTTGGATTAACTAGTGCGAACTTTGTATTGCTATCACTTTTGTTCTCAACTCGAATGATTTTTATCAACAAAGTTATCGAAACACTTCATCTATCACTGAACATCATGTTGTAATGCAGACAAGGGTATGTCTGATTAGGTACAAGCAGCGTGCATTAAAATCGATGTGATGTTTTTGAATTATCTTATCGAAGAAGGCCTAGTAATCTCTTTATTGTTAGCGACTTCTTTACATTATTAATTTTTGTCTCATTGGTCTAAAAGTTGCTACAATTGGATAATTATTTAATATGGTGTAAAATATAGAATCATTAATTTTTAATAAAAATAATTCCTTGCATCACCTTTTTTTGTTCTATTGATTGTGAAAATGTTTTTTTCTTTGTTTTCAGCGGGCATAGAAGAACTAGACGAATTTAACGAATCACCGCACGTGGTGCACAGCGACACCGTGGCGCTCACCACGGCCGAGTGTATCAACGCAGACGACGAAGAGATCATATTCACCAGGGCAGCACACAAAAACGGCACCGCCTTCTCATAGCAATGCCAATAAGCGTGAGAGGGTACCGTCATATAACGTTCAGGGCACAACCCCCGAATGGATGAAATTATGAATTTACACGATCGAAATTATTTACTAATATTGGTCTCATTGAATAACAATCTGTCTCCAATATTTATGTGTAAACGTCTTGTTGATTGTGTCGATTAAAATATGTTGTGAATGCAAACCGAATGGGGTTTTATGATTGAGTGATGGAAAATCAAATATATATTATTGGCTGTACACACATATGGCCGATAGGAAATTTTAAATGAATGTATCCTGATGTGTGATTCAGTGTGATATTCAAGTACATTGATTACTTATTGAAAAATCGTTGAAAGCACAAAATAATGGAAGTAAACTTAGATTACCTACTTACGTGTAAGGAAAATACATAGCTCCGATCTCAAAGCGATCGTGTCCACGTGTCAATTAACAAGTTTATTTATTTTCTTGTTTCAAAATAATATTCTATGACACACTAAGAGTGAGGTATCACAAATGTTCTATGTGCCAACGATTGAAACCACTATTATGCAATATAGAGAAAAATATTGCGAGGTACCTATGTATAAATATAAGAGTATTCGTAATCATTGTGTCTTTGTGAAAAATGTCTGAATTTACCAAAATATATTTAAGAAAATGAGTGTTTAAAAGTGCTGTTAAAGTTGAATGGATATTTTCGTGTTGTATGAATTGTTTTGTGTTGTTCTGATGCACTTTTGAATAATTTGTTTCACCTATATCTTGGTACTTATTTACGGTTTACTTAAATTGTTTGTTATTAAAACAATAAAAGCACGGTGATTCTGGATGTACCTGAGTATTGTAAAATTATGATATTTGCATAGTAGCACTAACATACTTACAAATGCACTGATTATTGTAATATAAACTGCGGAACAGAAACAATTTTAATTTTTACAGTATCATTTTAAAGTTGCTTTTTCTTTAATAGTCATAAAATTGTATTACCGTTTGGTTGGTATAATGTATTATTTCGGAATGAGATCGAATAATATTGATACGGGTCGGTGTTAAATGTTCGCTAGTGAAATCGAATTCTTATGAAAAATTGCTGATACATTTTGTATACAAGATACTAAATAGATACTTGAATATAACAAATAGATTCGTGATGTACAGTGACTTTTAGAAATGTTAAAGTACAATTAGATCTCAAATCGATGTTATTATTGTGATTTTTGTAAAGAAATGGGCAGCTGAGTTATATTTTTGTCAGTGTCTAAATTTATTTGCTTTTCGTGTTCGCTGTCTAGTTATTGTGTATGTATATATTATTGAAACGAATCGCCAAATGAACTAAATTGAGAAATAATTAGGTCCAGGTAATATTGCTTCGGATGCATTCTTTTTAGCAATTTTTAGAAATTTAAATCTAGAGAGCATGCTCTTTAAAGAAATTCTAGAATAGTTAGATTTGAGCATAATTTATCGAAATAGGGGTGGTAAAATACAGTTTTTTATTCCCAGATGTAATTTGTGTTCAGCATGCCCTTTATAGTCTATGTCTTAACATTATTGTTTTAAACATAATGTCGTGTCAACGTAGCGTAAGATTAGTAATGCTAGTGATGTATTTATATTTTACTTATAAAACTTTGTTTAAAAACATCGATATTTGTGTTCTATTAAAAAAATATTGGAATAAAGCGTACCGCGTAAGAAATTACATTTTTACGGTAATACTTAAACCAGTTTAAAAACGTTATTATTTGCGGTAGGTAGTCTTTGAATGTACTAAAACTGGATTTTAAATGTATTTTTCGCAAACACGTCGCTTGCCGTGTAATAATAATAATAAGAAAGTATTTATCACAGTTTTAATTTTAATATTTGCACATCTTGACTAATATTTTAGTCACTATTAAGTATTAATAATAATTTAATGTGATTTAATCTTATTAATGGCGTGTAATAACTATTTAAAATATGGTTTATTGTTATTAAATTAAATAAGCACGGCGGGTAAGCGTTTGCGAGATAGAAGTTTAATAAAGTCTTATGATTCCATAGAATTCATTACCATAAATTGAAATAGAGCACAAAATTCTTTTCTCAATATAAAATGCGCTGTTGACTTGAACAAATTGATTTACAAAAACAATACTTTGACGCGCCCCCTGGCATTCTATCGTAGTGGGTCATGATATTAAGCACTGAATTTTATTCTCTTGACGTATGAGATAGAACTGAAACATTGAAGAGCCACGCACCCTGCGTTTCGTTAAATTATTTTAATTTGACGATTAATTAATTAATCCTAACAACACTAACAGCTTACCGGCGCGCCCACTTTTACATTTTAATAATGGAAAATGTTGCGCGTCATGCATGACAAAAAATGGAGCTTATTTATTTTTTTATTGATATATGGACTAAGTTATATCACATAAACTCTTTATATAAGAACCTTTTTATTAATATTTCCCCTTTTAAAGTCTACTGATGTGTGAAATGTGTCATTATTTAGGTGGATATCTGTTTGTGGTGTAAGAAATGCAACAAATGTAACAATGATTCCTATTGACGTTCTTGCTTTTATTTTAATTTAATTTCTATAAACTGACTAGAGTCTGCCTAAGTTTACTCATAAGTATTGTAATCGTACAAGTCGGGCAAGCACTACCACAATGTTCAAGTTCGCTGCTAAGAATACCGCATTTGAAATAATGTTTACATTTTTGTACGATTACAAGCATTACTATAGGTATTTAAATATAGGGTTTATATTCAAATTCAAGTTTATACCAGAAACTAGTCTGTGTACCTAACTATGTACATTTATCTGGCAATTACGTGTCAAAATGAGATGACTCCGTATTCAACTAATACTTTCAAATATCAACTGATATGGCTTTCAAATTTTGTTATACTTATATCAAATATTCTTTTTCGATAACTTCTTTATTTTCATGTAAATGTTTGAGCCGTTTTTAATGTTCGTAGCCAGCGGAAACTGAATTTCTTTCCTAGTCCTTTTCGAATAAAGTTGAAAGTCGATTGAGTGGGTCTTCTAGACCCTGGCTATTAACGGAAAACTGTTTCTATTTCCTTGACGTCATATCTGTCTGCCTTACGGCATAACTCAGACAGCATTAAAACTTCTATCAACAACTTGTGGCTATAAAATTTGGATTTCAACATAAAACCAGTATATTTAGGTATTCTTATAATCTGCTCTCACCTGCGCATACGCCTGAAGTATTTTTCTGTTATCATTATTTGAAATTATCTTTAATGTTTTATATTTTGTGTAAAATCCACTTTTATACGTAGTGTTATATAGTTATTTCTAAGCCTTTGTAGGTATAAATTGAATGTAAATAAACTTTCTTATTATGTACACATTAATTGTCGTTTCATTTTATATCTATGCGTTTCTCATAGACATGATAAATAACAGTATTATTCTGTTTGGATATCTCATATCAATTAATATTGTTTTATTAAACAACGAAAAATAACCTTTAATTATAATTTCCGAAAAGAATTCATAGAGGTGCAGTACTTAATGAATGGTGCATCCACATTTTACCAGTTTCATGTTATAGAAACAGTTTTATACTACAATGGGTCTAATAACAAAACTTTGGAGCGAAACCAATATCGTGCTAATGACCACTGTAGCGGCACTATCACGTCGCTACATTACTTAGATACGATAGAGATAAGACATACATGTTAATTGTTGCACGTTTGTTAGGATAGCTAAATCTGAAAATCTCACGCATCTTCTTAGTATATAAGCACCAGCAATTAAAGTAATAAACAGACTTTAACCATCTACAGTCTCATTATTTACCTTGCCACGAAGTCTGGCAAATTGGTGACCCCGACGAAGAACAATCAACATGACTCATTCGAGTGCGTTACTCCAGCAGGAAAGTAGCTCCAAAAAAATATTGAGTTATGTGAATAATTAGAGCGTCATTTGCTGTAAATGTGCATACAAGTAAAACATTTGTGCATGCTGTCGTTTTCGAGAAAAATCGAAAAAACTGATTCTGCTGGAGTAACGTTTTTCTAGCAGGAAAATTCCAAACTATTGACCTTAGAGAAAAACAAAGTATATGGGCAGGTAGCTTATATTTGTGCAGAAATGTGCGCCAAAAATGAAATTTGTGCGTCATAAGGTTTTCGAGATATTCAGTTTCCTGCTGGGGTAACGTTTTGCAGAATCCTGTTCCTCGAGAACCAATATTTGTGCGATCGTAGAATAAACGGAAATCAGTAGCCCTTAATTTGTGCGTATTTGTGAAAAAAAAATATTTTCAAAAATATTTACCGTTTTTGAAATAATCACACATATATGAAAACCCAAAAAATTACCCTAGCGCTAAAATGAACAAACGCACAAATTCACTGTAAACTGTATTCGGTTCTTCTTATTATTCTTAACATCCTTGATAAGATTCAAGACAAAATATACACGCGTTTTTATATAATTTAACTTCAAATCTTAATTAATAATGTCGTAACTTTGATGTCAAAATGCAAGGAACACACTCAACCTAAGATAATTTAGTCTAAACCGAGAATTAGAGCGATGTCTCAAATATATATCCTGAAAATTTCACCTTCAAATGTCTCCTATTAAAGTAGATATAAACAAAAAACCAAAACAAGAGCTAGATTACTGGTTATCCGACTAAATTCGAATGACCATAAAAAAGCGACCGATTCATACATACTGATGACCTTCTTAACTTTGCTCACAAAACATTGTGCTTGGGTACACTTACGTATACAACTGTTAGAGTAAATAACGAGATTACCTTTTATTTTATATGAATAAGTTAGTACCTATCTTTCTTATTATTATAATTGCCTACGCAATTTAATCTAGTTATTTTTAATTAACTCCTGTGAAGTTCAATTAGGTTACGTTACGGAATTAAACATTATATTAATATCTATGCGAAATATACAAACGAAATAGTGCGTAAATATTGAGAACTATTTATATTGTTAAACTTGTAGATTATAGTATATGTTGACTTGTAATTTGAATTGATAACTAACAATAATAATAAAAACTATGCTAACAACAACAACCTCTTTCATTTGATATCTGACATAGGACACTTACCAATGTTTTGTTTATTTTCTAATTCAATCCCAAAATCGTCTTTTTTAATTTTTATTTACGCTTGACGTCCGTAATTATAAATGTATACATAATAACAAAATAAAGATATTATTATTGCATTTTGCTATAAACGTTATGAACACGATTGTACGGACAACAGATTCAGATAATACTGTTATGTAGAGAAGGTCATCAGTATGTATGAATCGGTCGCTTTTTTATGGTCATTCGAATTTAGTCGGATAACCAGTAATCTAGCTCTTGTTTTGGTTTTTTGTTTATATCTACTTTAATAGGAGACATTTGAAGGCGAAATTTTCAGGATATATATTTGAGACATCGCTCTAATTCTCGGTTTAGACTAAATTATCTTAGGTTGAGTGTGTTCCTTGCATTTTGACATCAAAGTTACGACATTATTAATTAAGATTTGAAGTTAAATTATATAAAAACGCGTGTATATTTTGACTTGAATCTTATCAAGGATGTTAAGAATAATAAGAAGAACCGAATACAGTTTACAGTGAATTTGTGCGTTTGTTCATTTTAGCGCTAGGGTAATTTTTTGGGTTTTCATATATGTGTGATTATTTCAAAAACGGTAAATATTTTTGAAAATATTTTTTTTTCACAAATACGCACAAATTAAGGGCTACTGATTTCCGTTTATTCTACGATCGCACAAATATTGGTTCTCGAGGAACAGGATTCTGCAAAACGTTACCCCAGCAGGAAACTGAATATCTCGAAAACCTTATGACGCACAAATTTCATTTTTGGCGCACATTTCTGCACAAATATAAGCTACCTGCCCATATACTTTGTTTTTCTCTAAGGTCAATAGTTTAGAATTTTCCTGCTAGAAAAACGTTACTCCAGCAGAATCAGTTTTTTCGATTTTTCTCGAAAACGACAGCATGCACAAATGTTTTACTTGTATGCACATTTACAGCAAATGACGCTCTAATTATTCACATAACTCAATATTTTTTTGGAGCTACTTTCCTGCTGGAGTAACGCACTCGACTCATTCACCCTAACTCATGGTATTGCGGAACTTTAGACAATGTTTTTCCTATTGTGTCTCATATACGGGCAGACGAGAGGTTAAACATGTAGTCTTGCTAGAATATTCTATAGGTGCCTATATCAAGTCGACAAATAAAAAGTAAACATCATCGTGCGATGCCAATTACATCATTTTTAGTGAGTCGATAAGTACCGTACGTGTGATACTTGCGAGTTTGAGTATGTAGGTACACAACCACTTAGTGACAAATGCGAATTTAATGCCCAGTTGTCGAGTGCTAGACTAATTGAGAAGAACATTAGGCAAATTGCTTTTATCAGTACCTACATAAATAGCATCTATAATACTTAAACATATTTTTAAAAAACTTTAGGAAACTCAACTTGAAAAATAAAACAACATATGCCAACAACAATAATTTATTTTCCCACACACTAGTACATACATCATAAAAGAACTTGAAGCTAGCATAATATGAAGGAGAAATGAATTATATTTATAACAGGTACAAATAAATACATTTAATAGTAGCCCTAATTGTATAGATTTAGAAACCAGGTACATACACATACATATACATTATTAAGTCATTCACCATAATACTTATTAAGAAATACTATTAAATTCTAAATCAATGATCAAATGAAGATACTATTTATTTAATTATTAAAATACTGATTTAATATAACGTCTGTTTCTTAAATAACTAGATTTCAGATCGCTTGTTGTACTTATAAAAATAATTTTAAAACTGATAGGTACAAAAATCCTAAATATGCATAAGCTATCGAACAAATTACCATGTCATTCGGAGCCAAAACTGCGTCATGGGTGTTTAGTAAAATTACATTGGTATGGTGGATACTTATTACAGTTCTTTCATTAAGCTGTCATATTAGTGATATCCATTAATCCATACAATAATCTGCTGCAAAGTAACAATAGTCCCGTATATTGCTTGCTGTTTGTTTTAAAAATACAATATCGCAAATGGACAATGTGTTTCGCTTGTCTTTTCTATTATGTTCTTGGGTAGGGCGAGTCCCCATCCCACTGTGGCTACGCCCATGGTATCAGGTGTTGTCCCCTCGCTTTGTAACCATTACAGATAAGATAACTAATTTGGAATGACTACGAAACAAAAACCTTAAAAGAATTTTGTAAATTAATGGTGTCCGGTTTACATTTCAACGAACAGAATAAATAGATAGGGTAGATAGACAGAAAGTTTTTGCGAAGCGCAGTGCTTCATAAAACTATAGTCAATAAATATTAAAAAAAATACATCTCAATATGCAATAAAAACTCAAATACAATATAAACATTACCCCATGACTAATTTAGTATATTAGTTAATTAGTATTAATAATATAACAGACTCCAGTTTCATAAAAGCGTGACACCAATGTTTCACGCACAGGTTTCACGTAATTATGAACGGAAAAGAAAGGACTTACATACTTTGAGACATAGTCATCAAAAAGTCGTTATCCACTACAATCAGACACATAAGCTTCGTAACGTAACTTCGTAACTCGTCTAACAATTACCGGTTTCAAGTGAACGCAACCGCACCTATACTTCGTTTCGGCTATGTAAATATTTTATCAAGGTATTTATCAATTACTTTAATTTCGCAATACAAAGATAATACAAACAACCTGTACGAGTATCTCATGTACTTATTTCAATTCATAGGAATGATTACAAAGCATATCACGGCCTGTGTTGAGAGAATAAGCACCTGTTTTCTATTAGATACGAAATGAACACAATGTATTACGAATTGTTACAGGCTAGGCACCGATCGATATAGAATAGGAATCTGACTATCGCGGATGAAATGGTTGACCATTGAAACGTAAAAAGTAGAACAGCGTTTAATACTAGAATATATAACACCGAACTGACCTCATACGGATAAAAATAAATGGTTAAACCCTTTGATCTTAAACCGGTTATAAGGTTAAATATATTTAAATTAGTTTATATTATAGGCAGGTAGGTGTATTGGTATTCGTCTTGGCACATACCGACCTATTTAGGGATGATTGGAAGATAAGTACATTTTCAGTCACCGTCCTAGTTGATTAAATAGTCTAGGATGGAATAATTGACCTTCAGAGATCCACGTTGGTTAATTAATAAGATCGTTAAAAGTAATCATGTTAATTAGTTTAAGTATAGTTAGTAATAAAGTGCTATCGGTTTGAATTGTATCTTGTGTAGTGATAGGTAGGTATTAAGTTTGATAGGAAATGTCTAAATCGTATCGTAACGGCGATAGAAGAGCTTGTATTTGCGTTAGCTGTCTATTTGCGCAACACGTAACGGCTTTCGGATACAAACATCAAATAGATCATATTCTCTCGCGTTAGCAGTGATGCCAGGGCTTCAGGTTTATACGAAACGGATAATTTTAGATAGGTAGAGAATGGACGACCTCGCGTGAAGCCATATAAGTGGCTATACATGCTTATCTATAGGCTGCAGTTATATCCATCACCGTCTTTAGCATTACACACTGTTTTATCTACAGCTCTAACAGAAAAAGAAACACCTCACGCGGGGCATTGATTGAAGGTATTGAAAAAAATATTACCTACAAATTCAAATACTTACTGTATTATAGCGTACATAATTTAGTATTTTAGAAGCAATTAGCTAATTACGAATTTTATAACAATAAGCAATAAAGTACAATACAATACAGAATTATAATAAGCGAAACGTATATAATTTCTTTGTTCAAATAATGCACTAATGTATGTCGCTTAAGTACATAACATTTTACAATTTATACACCGATACAAAAAGTATTTGTATCTAATGGTAACGGAGTACGATGAAATAATTTTTACATACAGATATAAGAAAATATATTGGTTAACTTTCGAATAAACCTATATTAATGAGAACATTAGACAATATTTTAAATTTTTAGTTACATATTCATTAATTATTATATTAATTTCAATAAATAATAACAATAGAAATATCTCTGAAACAGGAATGTACAATAATAAAGATTATATAATTTACTTTTTAATACGTAATAATATAATTAATATAATTTACTTATTTATTTAGTTATGTTCATCAGAACTCAAATTGTGAACTAGAAAAATAAATTTATTTGGATTAGGTACTTATAATTTATAATATCAACGATATAATTATAAATATTATATAATTTAAATTTTTAAGTTGAATTTAGATATTGCCGACGCAGTTATTTAATAATTTTCAATCTTAGAATATAGGTAGGTACTAAGTTATATTCTTAAAACACACCCTTTGTGACACTTAGTTCATTTTAGATACTCAATAATCATAACAATTATTTAATTGATCGGCCTAGTAGTGGCAATGATAAAAATACTTGACACGTTTAACACTTGACAAATAGAAATTTCAAATAGGAATTTATTACATATAATCGCACAGAATTCCCGTGCAAAATTAATAAAAATTCGACATGATGTCATATGCAGTGTTTTGGACACTTTCGTCTAAATATAATAAAGTCTAATTTGATCAATATTACAGGCATCATCTAACATCAATATTCTAAAATAGTTTACAGCCCCACTACGGTATTACGGTTACGGACAAAGGAGATATATAAATGGAGCTACTACTAAGTATAGCTAGTAGCCATCGAATTCCATTTAGAACAACCAGGATATATCGAAAATATGGAATGGTAAACATTTCGCACAGTAATAAACACCACCTCCGCACCGTAGTCGAGTTGTAAATAGCAAATGCAAGTATCAATATTATATTCTCCAAACTATTCCGAACTATAAATAAATAACAAGATATAATATCACGCGATATACAACGTCTTAACACTACTTAAGTGTAGGTACCACTACCGCAATGTCAGAAACAATGGAAATTTTAACAATAAATAAATATATCCATTCATCTCATAAAACTTTACAATCACGCTGAAACTTGGTAGTAATAAAAAAAAACTATCAAAACAAACTGCTCAGATACAAAATAAAATAGAATCAATTATATAAACAAAACATCACATGAAATTTAACTAGAACTGTACATGTGTTTCGAGACGTAAACTACTAGACACGATTGTAAACATTCGTATAAGACCGAAAATTAACTTTTACACTTGATCGGATAATTCAACTTTAATAAAAGTGCAAGCATAGTTCTACGAATGGCAAATAGACTAGAAAAGAGCACAGCATGACAAAATTCTGTGCAGAGATTTCGCTCCTCCAGTCACACTAGCAACATTAAATATGTATAACTAATATACATTTTCTTTAATTTTACTTTGCATTGTGATCAGTTAATAGAAGTATGTAACAAGTTTTTACAGTTAGAATATTATAACAGTCGTTACAATTATATTTCAACATTAAGATACACGAATGTTGAGAATCAATGTACTGGTGTTTTCTCCTTTCGCGATAATCTAATTTTAAATCTTGTTTATACATCTTGATATTCATACAAATCTGTATGAATATTATAATCCTGTATTGGAAAAGTATGTGCATACAGATGAAGTCTGCCAAAACAATAGCAATGTATTTGGGTCAGAATACATTAAAAAAGTATTAGAAGACTATTACGACGATTGTACACGAAGCACTATCCTATCACAAACACCGTCTAACCCGAGGAAGATCAAGCGTTTTAAGGAATACTATTTTAGAAGTTTACACTAAATTAACGACGAACTCGTGACGTGGACCCACCACCTACGGGGGCCAACAGTCGCCTGGGTACCAGAAGACGAGCGTTTCCTCTAGCAGGTCTCGACGCTCCAGGCTGTTTTAAATCAGCTAAATGCGATGCATAACCGTCGTTAAGTGTCGTTGCCATATTACTGTACTTTTTACTAATTCGCCCAATAGCATAAATTTGTTTTGGGGAAAGTCCACAGTTATGATAAACAGTTATGTCTTTTCCTGATCCGTACGCCGCGTGCATAATGACGCCGTGATCAGTTATAAGACTGTTCAAATGTGCTGCCTTATGTCCTAATGGATCTGTTGAAAATCCGTCAGAGAAAAATACTAAACCATGCGGGAAGTTGTGTTCAGCCAGCCATGATATGACTTTTCTTTGTTGCATGTCAGGTCTCCCTGTTATATACAAAATGAGATATCCAAGATCTTGCCAAAATCTCACAACGTCGACAGCACCAGCTCTCACTTTCGGGTCTCGTCCAGTAACCGACACACTAGCTGTGAAAGATCCATCAATACTGAACACAACGCATTCGGTTTGAGGGGGTACAACGGCTAGGTGAAAATTACACATTGTGTGGTCACCTCGAACAACAACTCTTACCGGATAAATACCGCAAGCGACACTTTGTCGTTCTGTTAATGTATATGTTATCCTTCCAGTCTTGTCAGTGACGACAGTCGACAACATAGCCCATTCACCTGCTGGAGGATCCTTCATCATATAAATGTCCACTTTTTCGCCAGTTAACGTTATCATATCTAATGGTCCGTACATAAAACGCGCAGAAAACGTTTGCGGACATCCCTCTTTTACGATAACATCGTTGGCTCTATGATTTGCAGCAACGTTTTTCAATTTAACCGATGTTCGTTTTCTCATCCATTTTTCTCTTTCTTGTCCGGGTTTAAACATAGAGCACTCTTTATCATCTGAGTGTCCGTAGAGAGCTAAATCGAAATGACCAATTTGGCGCAATATGAAAGCAATAACATCAGAACTCTCCCAATAACTTGCATGAAATAGATGAGGTAAAGCATTTGTTGGAAAATTAGTCAATCCTTCGGGACAGTACAAAGCATAGTCTAGTCTTTTGGATCCCCACCATTTTTGCTGTAATGCATTCATAGTAATCAATGGAATGTTATCTACTAGGCCACTGACAGTACTTTGTACAGATGCTTCGGATAGTCTTCTTAACACAGGAGTTGGCGGCATTTGCAAGTGATCTCCAAATAATTGAGGATGACTTTGTATCAATTCCATTAAATGGTAAGGCTGACCATTGCCTAAAGGATATTTTGTATATCTAGCAACATTTATTGGTGGCAAATTAGTAAATCTAGCTGAGAGCAGTGGCTCCAGCCTTGAAGCCACAGGATCAGTCGGGTGAAACAAGTTGAATACTTGTTGTACTGGTGGCTTCATAATATCACGAGATTTGTCATCAGAAATTTTTCTAGACGCTAATATAAGTGATAAGGGGCTACCAAAAGTGAAAAAGTCACTCACTTCAAATTCAAATTTTATGTGGTTATCACTAGTCGATGACGAACGCCTCCTTGGAGTCGGAGCTTGTAAGTGTGACTTATTGAGGTATTGCGGCTCCATTGGATCATTTGGGATAGTTATTTCCGTATCTAAAATGCTGTTCTCACTGTCATGCCTGGATTGGTATTGTAAAGTTCTGATAAGAGCATCATACGCTAGCACGGACCCCATGCTGTCGCCAACAATACAGACTTGTCCATTAAATCCTTTCCCATCATCAGATCTGAGAAACTCGCTGTATGTGGTGTTTGCAGAGTTAATTGTTTTTGTAACGGACTCTGCGTAGTCTGGAGATGTCGTAGCAATTAATGGTATAGCACCAATAGGTATAAGATCGTTTGTTAATGACGGAGATTCAATAGTTGATGGTGAACAATCGAAACTATAAGGGCTCAGTGTTGACAACACGCCCAAGGCTTCAGTGCATATAGATGGACATGACACCAGTTTTATAGCTATGTGTCCAATAAGCGTTGGATAATGCTGTCGCATGACTGATTCAAAAGCTCCTTTAAAAGTGGTGACATCTGATTTCTTGGCTGTCATATCTACATTAGCATCTAGGACACTTCCTGCATGAAAAACAAGTATCAAAACAGTAGTAGGACATGAACTATGCACAGGAGTCTCTGGGCAACCATCAACACTGGGATGACTTTGAAGATTAGGCATTCTGCGCGAGCCTCTCTCAGAAGTGACACGTTTTAAGAAAGAAGGATTAAAAATACTATCTTCTTGACTGTTATCGCCTTGAGTTGGTGAAATGTCAATGTCAGCTTCATCAAGGGAACACATGGAAGACCATTTATTAAATGAGGATTCACAGTCATAGAACTCATCTTCTGAGCCTGTTTCTGTTTCTGATTCTCTAACAAGAGTTTCCATTCTCCAGTTTGCAGCTTGTGCTTGCAAACTTTTAATAGACCCAGATGAAGATGATCTAAGATTAGTTTTAGATGATTTGTGTTCCGATGGTGGAGTTCCTTCAGGTGTCAGATGCTTTTGAATTCTTTTTTCAGTATTTTTCTTAGTTACCATAGGTGTTGGAACATCTTCATTCTTTTCCAAACTGCTCATTGTAGCTGCCAGAGACTTGGAATTCTCTTCAGAGAGATCTTGTTCATCACTTGTGTCACCAGCCATTTTCTTTTGCAAAGCCAGTTGTGTCTGGCGCTCAATCTCTCTTATATCATCCATTGTAAGGCCATGCCATTCATCCTGCCATGCCCATGCTTGGCGATGGGCCCTTAGCATCGTTTTCCGTAATGCAACATCATGTATAAATTTTTCTAGTTTTGTTTGCATACCCCAATATCTGAATTCAACTTTACAAAGCTTATAAGCACACATGAGTGACTTTCCATTTGGCAATGGTTGAGGTTTGCCTTGTACTTCACTCCAATATTCTTCAAGCCAGTTATCAGTAAGCGGTCCTCTATTACATTTTTGTGAGTGAAATAATTTAGGATCCTCTTCTTTGACATAATCAGCACCATAGAGCTGATCTTTACAAACATCAATAACATCAACTATTCTACTTTTTAAATCACTTCCAGTTAGGTTGAAGACATTTTCTTGGTGGCCATTATCAGAATAATAATAAGTTTCTATTTCTAATGAAAATTTTTCAACAAATGGACATGTGTATCTGGTTTTTGTATAAGGATAGGCATTCCAAGCTTCTTCGGAAACCGTTAAGGCAGATTTTGGAAGTAAACTTTTAAACCAGCCGGGTAAATGGCTACCAACATGATAAATTTTTTGGGTGTACTGACCTTTTCCACCAGGGCCATCTTCATACGGTTCATTGACTAAAATTTCCACACCACTACCTTCACCGGAGCTTTCTTCTCTGCTCTTTTTAGCTATCATATACAGCTGTGCGATCCTGTATTCCTCTACAGTGAGAGGCAGTGGTATCCGGTATTCTTTAATCAACATTTTTTTAGTCTACTTAGAGTGTCCAATATAATGAAACATATTCTGTAACAAAGAATAAGTTGTTGTATCAAAAAAGCATATAATTGGAACAGTGCCACTGAAAACGTAAAATCAAACATGAAAAAATATTCACTCCGATTTCTATTACAAATAGTTTTACATAACTTCATGTAAATTGCTAAAATATACAAATAAGAAGAACCAGTTAACTGTTTCCTCTTAAAAATTAGTACCATCTCATATTTAGACGCATAATATGCATAGCTTTGTCTTAGCTAACATGTTATTAAAGATTACCGCGGATTACGGCGGATGTTTTTATTATTAAACATTATCTACGTAGATAATGAAAACGTAATTATTAGTCACTAGTCAATCAATCAGTGCACGCGTTATCTTTTATTTTAACAGATCACTTAAATGGTATATGGAAGGGATCTAACGTTTAATACTTTTATATCCACCGTAAAACTGCACTTAGATAGCGCTAGATAAAAAGTAGAAATCTATTTTGTTGGTGTAAATCATTTCGACATGATTCCTTACTATATAGCTAGAAGGTAATACCACTGAATGATATTTACCTCAACAGATCCAAATACTAGGAACACTGTATTACACTTCACACATCATTTTTAATTCATTAATTTTTGTTTTTCACAAAACACATCCCTTGCACGGATCTACGGATGAACTTTGACATTTTCGAGATCGTAATGTCAATATGGCCTAAGTGCCATTCCTTTTCATGTTGGACATACGACCGTCAGTATCTCTTAATAGAAGCAAAGGAAACAAATTGTATTCACAAAAGAAAATATCAGTTGAAAACACTTCGTACGACAGCTTCGTATCACATCCTATAAAAGACTATTTCACAAACAAAATGCAACATCAAATCTACCGTTTCATGAGTAAAGTAAATAAATATACTTTGTATACAGCTAGCAAAGTTTGTGTTCCTATATGCGCGATCGTAGATTGGAACGCTGTTGATTCTGCGTAGGTACGATGAAGTCGTATTCATAGCCTTTCCTATTCATGACATAAATTTCATCGTTTCGATCCGTAATGCTATTGTGATGACGAATATATGTATTGAATATTAATTCAAATCAGGAATCGTATATTTATCAAATCAAATCAAATCAAATCGAATTCTTTATTTCAAATAGACCAAAAAAGGCACTTTTGAACGTCAAGCAAAAAAGATATCATAAGGTTTAACTTTATGTGTCAGTCTGTCCGTCTGTCCTCTAGTGAAGCTATTTGCTCGTTCCAAAGTGTAGATTCCTATGGAGAAGAACGAGCAAGAAACTCCATGGTTACTCTTTTTCAATCACTTTTTACAATACATTGTTACATAATTTAGATAGCTCTATTATGTGAGAACAGTGTAACACCTGATCGTAGGATACAGATAGTAAATGACCTCCATCCCAAATACTAAACTTTATAAGGTGCATTTGTAAGAATTAAAAATAAACAGTAACTATGGCAGCCTGAGTGGTTTACCAATTTCAATATTTTTTGTTTATAAATATAACTTTTATTTAATATTATATATTAATTTTTACTTGACCTCATATTGCAATCTTGAAATATTATCAATAATAAGAAAACACAAGAACTAAGCTATCTACTGATACCTACTACATACGGATGCGGATGTCCACTCTTCTCGTTCGGCTGTGCTTGGTAAATAAAATAGCATTCTTTTCCAAAAACTTATTTTATTCTAATAAAAAATACAAATACTAGCAACTTTAACTTACTTACTTTTAATAATGTCAAACAGGAAAGTGATATGAGAAAGTTAATTTTCCGCTAGTCGAGAAATTTTACTCTACTATGAATACGACCCTCTTTACTAGATGGACATGAGAAAATCGATAGCAGTCGTCGCAGAATTAAAGCGTCGTCGTATTATTTATATATATATTTATCTACTCACTTAACCACAAAACTATTTGATCTAGGTGCATTTACTCAGTAGTATCGAGGCAGTAGGTAGGTTCGTTAATATATTAAAATAAAGTAGCATTTCTTGTTCAAATAGAGATAGGTAGGTAACCGTAGGTAGGTAGATCTAGTAATACAGTTCACGTTAACGTCTTCATTTAAAACCAAAACACGCATGTTCCTTCGGCGTTTTCCTACCAATTAACATTAATACCTATTAAGAGTCCAAATTCAAAACCTAGATACTTAGGTAAATATGTACCTAGGCACGTTTTGCTATTTAACGAATTTAGGTACCTAGTCTGGTGGATAGAAACTCTGCTACTGCTATTTACACTATTCATTCTAATAGTAAGTATTTAAGAGTTAGCAGAAATATGTTAATTAGTCATTAAAACGTACCTACGATATTTTTATGCCGTGTAGGTATCTACTGAGTTATGAATTTATTCGTTTAGCAATGAATCACCATTTGTATATTGTTAATAAAAACCCATAGCCTCAGCTTTGCGAGGTCATGGTACATAGTCTGTTTACATGATAAAGTAATGCTGTTCTTGGCACCTACTATGTAGTGGATATTATATTCTTCGTTGGGATGGTATCGCAAGTACCTACCTACAAAACGGAAATAAACTTCATATATTATATAAAGCATTTTCAAACAGATCGTGTTATTTCCATAATGGAGTTTGGCAAATAGGTGTGCCGTAATGAAATACCTAGTATTTAGTTAATTTTGTATATTAGGTATTTATTTAGTGATTGGGGAATTGTATGGAGTCTAGAACCATTATTATAATAACCATTACAAAAATACAAATAGGTAGATGTCGGGATGCGCGGGAAAAATAAAACACGACATTTTTTGTATGGTATAAAACTTAAAATTTATTGTATAATTCCCACAAAAATATTACACAAGTTATATAGTTAAATAATTAAAAAACTTGACAAAAAATAAAAATGCAAAAACATAACTCGCGCGCAGTGTAATGAGATTATTATCAGAAACCATAAAATTGCATATCTATGTTGCATTGCATCATATACGGATTGCAACACGCAAAATCCTTGTCCGAAGCCCGTTAGTAACACGTGTTTTATAACTCAAAGGTTAACGTGGTTACATAATGTACTAAGGGTGCATTACCTACTACGATAGCGGTATTTACGGAGGCTAAGCTATCCAGAGTAGGTACATACATTTTCAAATTGATTAATGTGTATCTACTTAATGTTCTTTTTCTGTGATAAGGACTAAACTAATGATCCAATCGTCACACATGTATTACTGTACGTTTATTGAATAATGAAAAGCTTTCGTTTGAATAATTTTGGAATACTTACTATTTTCGGTGTATATATTGGGCCCTGTTTTTTTTATATTTTTCTATTCGTATACTGCATACTCTAATATTACCGCTACCAAGATTGACTAATAAAATAATATAAATAAGTGTATATATTTTATAACATTCCCATATACAGAGTCTTGTCTACATCTTAAATTGCACACCTAAAATTAGGGCAAGTCCCCTAATTGTTCGACGTAACGGCACTGAATTTCATACATTAAGGCACTTATTACAAGTACAATTTATCCCTTTTTATAAATCATTCAATCGTTCGTGAATTTATTTGATGTATAAATACATAGTTTTTTGCTCTCTCAAAATTATATTTACTTTTTTTTTAAGGAATAATTTGTCGTTCCAAGATTTCGCTCACCACAAAATCTAAAGTTACAGTATTATGTTAAACTTACTAATAGCTTACAAACAAAAAAAAACTTAATATCAATGTATATTATCAATATAAATACATTATAGATTGCTTGCTTAGAATAATTGGTGTTTTGAATAAGTGCTTATAAAAATCAGTTCTTGATTGTGCAATAAAAATATGTGTTTAAAATACAATACAATCTGTTTCAAATATAGAATAGGTACATAGATTGTTTCTTATTAAAAATATGTATGAAAAATATTAAAATCTTTTACCCATTGATCCCGGTTCCAATACTGGCTGTATAAATAGAACTTTGTAGAAAAAACGCAACAAAATATAAATATCATTATAACATAAATACACCAACTTTTATGCAGATAATATTTTGGTAATGTCCAAGAAGGATTTGTGCAGAGCTTCGACATAATGGGAGCTGTTGTTATGCGACTTGTAACTTGCTACTGCTGCTCCTAACTTATCTGGGAAGGCCGAATAACTGAAAAAAAAAAATATTAAATTCATAACATATACTTCAATTCTTATTCAAACATCAATCACTTTTTAATGAGGGTAGTATAGACAGTAGATAGTCTTACTTTAGAACACTTATTCAATATTTTTGTACATAACTACGTTACAATAAATGCGCTATAATAAAAATAAAGAAAAAATATAAAAGAAACTCACGCAATCCCAAATCCTTCCTTGACAACAGGTCCAAAACCTCCTGCCATAACGCTGGGCGACGACAAAGTACTTGTACTCAAAATAGACTTATTCAAGTACTTGTACTCATATGAATCGAATATTTCTGGCCGAGGCATGTTATTGTCTTCCGCCATCTTCATAAGAGCGAACATGTGACGATCGAAGCCCTGCCCCATTGCTGCTTCTTTGACTAGCTCTAAGTGAAGTTTGGAACACTCTGTAAGTTTACTGCGAAGATCATCGTCAGACCTGTTGTTCGAATGGAGGATCTCGCAGAATGCCTGCAATGTGGAAAGATTGTCACTTACAAGTCAATTTTGAATGTCCCTACATTGGACATCTATACTAATATTATAAAGAGATAAAATTTGTAAGTTTGTATGTAGGGGGTAATCTTAGGAACCGCTGGTCGGATTGCCAAAATTATATCACTGATAGATAGCTACAATGTTCCTAAGTGCTAGAGGCTATAAAACATCACGCTACGATTAAATGGAGCTGAGCAGCGAGTGAAACCACGCGAGAGTAGCTAGTATTTCATGAAATTGATGTAGCCATTTTTGTGCTATTAGGGACTTGTTTCACTGCCTGATAAATTAATGTGTTTCAAAATTAGGGAGCTCGTTTCACCCTCATTTAGAAACCTGATAAATTATTGTGGTAATTAAGTTTCAAAATTATGTTCTATTTAAATATTTAAATTTATGTAGATATTGTGAAACATGCCCTTAGCGAGTCAATTATTTAAATAGGTGTTGTTTTGACCTGGATGTTAATAATGAACATAGTTAGGTATCTGCTAAGTTCTCTTTATTTAAATATCGTTGTCGGGTGGGAATTATATCATTAAATCTGCGTAGATTAAGATAGTCCGCTAGACATAATAAATAAATACTTTATTTATATATCTATTTGATATCTGCCTGTACTATATCTTTGACCTACTTTAACAGAAAGGCAAGTCACGATTTTTTTTTAAATACCCATTATCTAGTTGGTATAGGAATGTTTCGATTAAGTACGACTTTTCGATAGAACCAAAGTTTCTTGGAGTCTTTTGGGCATTAAATAGCGTTCCTTTTTACCATATGAGAAGAGAACCCTCATGAGAATCTACAATATTCATAACATCTTATGGAGATTGAAATCACATTGAGCTTAATTTTAAGTGAGGCCCCTAGCAAAATACCGGCATACATTACATTTAATTTCATGCAGTAGTTTTTGCGTAATGAGGTTACAAACGAGCATACCCATCACGCCTTTATACACCAGCCACACCAGTGAAGTTATAAGTGCGATGGCTTCTTTTTGGAGAATGTTAGGTGTATTTGAGGATTAAGGGAGGGAAGAGAATGGACTGGGCCGCCGGTAATACAACGCCAATGCTCTTTTTCGTCGTAGGTATTATTATCTGATTAGTTTTTCTTGATTATGTATTTAATTTGTAAACATCGATTGTGTTACAATTTTATTATAATGTATTAATTTTATGATTAACTGAGCCAATACTATAGGTCAATTATAAATCGGTTACTAATCACTAAGCATGAAAGATAATGTAATCAGATAATGAACTTCACAACATTATTGTTAGCTTAGTAAAGATAAGACCGAGTGCAGTGCTGGCCTTTTGGGGATAAGGGTTTCGGATATTTAAGGATTGGGAAGGGATGGGGAGAAGGGGAGCGATTGGGCCGCTGGTAACCTCACTCACAGGTTGTGGCTTAACTGCGGTCGAGCCCACCCATTGGTGCCGAAGCTTGGCTCCCCAAACTTATCTTGCTTCTCAGACGCTCCGGCGAATGAGACAGTTTACCAAAACATAAGATAGGAAGAAATAAATGTAGTAAGTACCTTTGTTTTGACAGTGCACGGTCGCATAGTTTCAGTTCTCCCGTGTTTGAAGGCTGAAGTACTGCAAGATTCGTATGTACCAACGAAACTACCCTTTAGTAGGTGATGAGCTGCCTGGAACGTTATTAAGATGTTTATTTTAGCGTTCGTGTTATTGGATTTTGTTATGCAAAGACGTATAAAAAAAAAATTAAGTGCCCACTTCTGAGCAAATGCCTCTTTTTACATGGAAAAGGGTTTGAGCAATAATCACCGCGCTATATTGTAAGTCCAGGTTTCCTCACGGTGTTTTTCTTTACCGTATGTCTGAATAATCATAGAAAGTACCTACATAATAACTCGGATTCGGTCGGTCACATTGTTACTTGTCAGGTTTCGAACCCACACCTTCAAGTATGACAAGAGGGCGCCTTAACCTCCGGCCCACTACAATATATCGCAGTGCCAAATTTTAGTAGTTTTAACGTGAAGTACAAATATCCATACTTACATACTTTCGCATTTACATATAATATTAGAGGGATTGTGAAGCACCTAATCGTATAAAAATCCGAGTTATCGCTTTTAAATCGACTAAGAATTTGCTTTATGATAGGTAATAACAATTTATTGATATGTTTTTTAAAGTCATGCTATAAAGTTCACAAGTAAAACATAATACTTAGTGACAAAAATGAAATAAAATGATGGGAAATTGTTCACCTGAAATGACAGCTGCATAATACAGTCAGGGCTAACTTTGAATTTTTTACATGCTGCCTTATTTAGTCCTTCATATAAAATATAATCGATGCTGAGTGAATCACACCATGCATTGTACTCTCTTTTGGCATTGTCAATGAATTGCTTTGACTTATCATCTAATTTGAATTCTGAAATCATAAACTATCAAATATTAACCTTTGGATCGTGGTAATTCGGATAATTGGATCAAGTTTTATTATTAGAAGAGATAACACACACACAGAATTCTAGACTGTTATTGACATCAAGGTAATTTATGAGATAATACATTTTTATAATAACTATCGTGAGACATACTAAATTAACTAGGTAAAAATCGCGGGTTACTCACGTGTATATATTGAGAAAAGCTCGCTTAACGCGCGACGTCGCCGCGTCCGCGCACGCTGCTCATGAGGAAGAACCCCTCTCTGGTTCGAAACTAGTAGAGCTTTTCTCAATATATACACGTAAGTAACCCGCGATTTTTACCTAGTTAATTTAGATAACACATTGTTAATAAGACATTTTTTTTACCAAAACCATAATATTAAGAACATAAAATGTTATCTTTTAATTTTGTTAAACATTATAGCAAAAATGTTTCATTGTTCCTCACCTAATTTCTGTACACTTATATTACTATCAGCTGGCTTAGATTCTGGATGAATGAATGGTTTCTTAGTGGTCTCAGCATAAATGTCCTGAAAGAATCTCAGCACAGCCACCCCATCGCCCCAGGAATGTTCAAAGTTCACACCAGCTACTCCATCACCAGTTACAATAAGGCTGAATGATTTGTCAAACCACCTGAAATATTTTTAGGAATAAATCAGCTAATAATTGCTTATTGATGAATATTTTTGACCAAAAATTATATACATATTGTGCAATCACCATCAAACTCAATATAATATGCAAATATGCAGTCAGACATATACAGAGAATATTTATTCAATAAAAAATATTTACCTATTTGTACCATCACTATGAAGATATTTCCTCAAAAGAGCACGCTTATCATCATTGATAACATCATCATCTAATACTAAATTAAATATTGCAGAGTCTATCTTTCTCAAAATTTCACTGTTCCCTGTAGACTCCAAATGTACGCGCTGTTGGGCCCATTGGTCCCTGTTTTGGGTAGTAAGTACTCCCAAAGGATATTCCGAGATTGGAGAATTGTCATTCATTACTTTACTCAAGTTACCAAGAATTTCCTGAGGTGACAAAAGGTTACCTGAAAATCATTATGTATGCTAAGCTTATGTATGAATTTAGTACATTGATATGTTAATCTTAGGATTAAAGTACACTGCTTAAATAAATACAAATCTGATAAAAAAAAATTTTCTATTAAAATGGGTGGGTAAAAGTTATCTAATATGTTTTCAATTAGAAAATGAAGAATAATATACCAAGTAGTTCCAACTACTTTGTGCACAGAAAAAAAAGAACAAATAAATATATTACCATCAGCATCTAAAACATCAAATACATAAAAGTTTCCCCTTCTCTGTACAACTACATGTTTGCTCTTTGGATCCCTGAAGATCTCATCTTTATTCTGGCGGGGCAGACGAGTGGCTCCAAATAACCCAACAAATTGGCTCATATCCAATGGGAATACTTTGAATAGATAGGCACCATACCTGTAATAACAGAAATATAAATTAATTCAAGCCTTATAGAATGTACACAGTAAAATTTAATCATGTAAGTTTAGTCAGTAGGTTTATTAAAGGGGAAAATCCATCATCAAACAACTTGTCTGAGCGAGTGGGAGTCTTTTGCAAATTCAAAACATACCATTCCTTCATTATCTCCAGGCTGGGGCCACACATAGTCACAGTTCACAGTTACACAGTTACATAAAAAATCATTTTAGTTATTTCACCATTATTTTTAGTGAACAATACATACCATGAAATGGCTTCAGGTAACATCCTTGTGACATTTCTAAAAAGTGGAGTGTCACTTTTCTTGGGGTTCATATGATACACTTCTGGTTCTAATATCTGTTCTCTTAAAGATAACATAAACCTTACAGCACTAATTAACATGTTTGTAGATCTTATAAGCTGATCATTATATTCAGGTCTCACGTCATTTTGGAATACGATCATTGGATTATAATTTATAGGAAGTGGTACTCTGTCACGCAGATAGAGATCAAACCAATAATCAGATATATAAATTGTGTGCTTATTCCTTTTATCCTTAGCTATTAGTTTCTCTTGAAGTACTTTTCCTTCTTTAGCTATAAAATTATTAGTACGTTGCTGGGCTTCTTCAAACTGTTTCGTAGTTAACAGTGGTCTAAGAGCATTCAAGTATCTTTCGCTTGTCTTCGAAAGTTCCGGTATAGGTAAACGAGGCAAAGATTTCTGAAAATGCATAGTCGGTAACTTACTTCGCTGTAAATATTGATAGTTAACATCTTTGATATTTTTCCTCGTAAAATTCCGTTGCTGTATGATCTTTTGACACACATTATTTTTGCATAATAGTTTGTTGGCACCAATCATCTTGAATGACAATGAAAAATAATAAAGTAGTTCTAAAGCACTACTGTATAAAATATGAAAATAAACAGAAAATTACAGTAAAATTAAATCACAATAAATAATGTTTTCAAATCAACTACATAAATAAAAATATAAAATAAAAATAAAGGTAGGTAGGTATCTAACTAAAAGTTATGTCAATATGACGAAGTCAATGACCTAAATATGTCAAAATTGTTGTCAAAGTAATCAAAGTCCACTCCGCTAGTGTTGTATTATCTCCTCATTTAATCCCCTGAAATTGTAGAGATGTTTTACATTAGTCGATGTCGATATAAGTAGGTAATACTTTTCGTACCTTTAAAAATGTCAAAGTCAATCCAAATCAAAACTGAAAATTAGAATTTTCACTGAAGAAAATGTGATAGCGATCCCAAAATAGATATTTATGTGCGAATTTTATTGGAATTGTCTAAAAATCTCTGCAAAAACGATTCAGTCTGTATTTTTTTACGTTCAGTATCAAATGACGCCTCTGTAACTATCAATAATTGTTCTAATAAATTCCATTCAATTAAATAGCCAGTATGAATGAACTACCGGAGAATAGCAACAACTCTGGCGGCAATGATTTAGAAACCTTGGATTATTTACGTGGTGTAAAATCGTCAACGTGCTTGTTACTACCGACGACACCTAGTCCTACACCGCTCGATTTCAAACATCCACTATCTGAAGAAATGGGTGATCGTCCGTTTTTGACTCTGAATGACGAGCCTAACATGGTCAATTTACAGACAGGTAAGAATTTAATAATATTTTATGCTTTTATTAGTAAATTGTTGTGAATATTTTTTTACTAGTTTTATATAAATTAGTCCAAACATTTTTAAGTAAAATCTTCAAGTCAGTTGCATCATCATGACACCAATCATACAAGTATTTATTTAGATTTATTTTTATTGATAATACAATACACCTACATAATAATGCAATTTCTTAGTTTATTTTTTTAGAATAATAACTAATAAATACTTGGTTGCCATTCAAGAAAGAAAAAAAGAACTAATAAATATTTGAAACTAAATCAAGCTGAGTAAAATTACATTAATAAAAATGTTGATGTTGCAAATCTTCAGATGCGTCAGCAGGAGATTCTAGTTCGTCTGGTGACTCAAGCTCAGTTGTTCAAGATCCAGTTAGTGCCCAGCTTATCAATAATATCAGTATGTTGGATTACCAGACTTTAAGCAAAAATGGTGATTTAATAATGGGGCAGGTAAGCTTATAGTACCTAAGTTTTGTTCATATTTATTTTCCATACAAATAATAATAAATTTCATAAATAATTTTCAGACTGAAGACTGCAAGCTGAATGGCAACCACAATGTCAATGGCAGAAAACTACCCAACTTTGTTAACTGGAACTGGAGTGTGATCAGGAAAGTACTTCTTTGGATTGTTCTCTCGGGTCTCATTGCCTGTTTGGGTGCTATCATAGGTATGGTGATCACCATTCCAAAAGAATGCAATCCTGACCTACCATGGTATCAAGGGAAAGTATTTTATGAAGTATTCCCAGCAAGCTTTAAAGATTCTAACAATGATGGCATGGGAGACTTAAAAGGGCTTTTGAAAAAGCTAGACTATATCCAAGATCTAGGTGCATCAGCCATTAGGCTGAATTACATATACCAAGCACAAAAATATCCAGAACAGTACTATAACATTACCTCTTTGGTACAAATAGATAGAAGTGTGGGAGTTCTGAAGGACTTCAGGGATCTGATAAATGAAGTACACAATAGGAACATGTCTTTGATCCTTGACTTGCCGGTTGTGTCCTTGGCAAAACCTGATTCATCTTCAAATTTTACTCAAGCTGTGTTAATATCTAATGAAACAATAACCAGCTTTGTTGATCCCACATCAGCTGCAATAATATTTTGGTCCAGTGAAAAAGTTGATGGATTTTATTTGAAAGATTTGGAACAATTTGTAGATGACATTAATTTTGGTAGAAGCTTGCAGATGTGGAAACAAGCTATAGGTCATGACAAAATATTTATTGCTAGTGAAAGTGCTTATGAAAAAGCTAAGGGTGGTGCTTTAAATGTTTTGTTATCCAGGGTTGATCTTATTGATGTCCATCTCGATTTACATGAAGGTATCAATGGTTTGAAAAATCGTATAGATAATGTTATTAAAGGTTCATTGTGGGCGAAACCACATTACCCATGGGTGCATTGGAATATTGGTAGTATTCATAATGAAAGAATATCCACTAAACATGTGAATAACACTCTGGTGTTGACAGCACTTGAACTAGTATTGCCAGGCACTGTCAGCATATTTTATGGAGATGAAATAGGGCTAGCAGGACTAGGCGATATTGAAGGCGATTTCCATGAACACAAAGATGTTAACAATGTAGTCTCTATGTCATTTTCGAATGAGAAAAATTCTGCGATTATTTTACCTTGGAACTCAAACTCTGAGAGAGAACCCAGCTATCATTTCTTAGATGTAATAAAAATGTTTACCAAAGTCAGGTTGGAGACGCCAACAATATATTTGCGATCTATTTTCAAGGAGGGTAATAATCTGAAAAACATGGAAATTCGCAAAACTGAGGAGAATCTAGTTGTTATAGAACGTTGGTATCCGCGAAGGAATACTTGCGTGTTTGTTGGGAATTTGGGCAGTAAATCTATTACAACTGACTTGTCCACCATGTTTTATGGGGGCACCGTGCTTGCTGGAACAAACACGTCTCTAGTCGGTCAAGTATTATATTTCGAGAAAATCACTTTCCCACCAAATTCTGCCATTATATTGAAGCTGGAAAAGTAAATTGGTGTTTGACGTCTTCAGATATATTTCGACGTTTTTAAAATATAATCTTTTATTAATTTCGTATTTTATGAGGTATTATTCGATTCAGAGATCAGAATTTATTATTTAAGAAAATATATTTAGTTAAGTTCAATATCCGTACGCAGCTATTAACACGATTGTAACAGAATCTCGCGCTTCCCAAATGATCTGAACATAATCTCTATAAGTATTTAATATTTTTGACAGTATTAATTAACTAAAACGCTATGGTAGCTAAATAATGTTTTTTAGTCCTAGACTGTTAGTTGTTGATATTTTTGTTGTTAAAATTTATTGAAAATAACGACGAGGCAAGCTCTAATGGTTTCAAGTTACAACGGGTCTGTTAATCAGAGCAGCGTGCCTGTCGTGGCTATGTCGCGCAGCCTACTGTTCTTTTCTGAGTTAATTCACATAAGTCGCTTTTTTCAATAAATTTTGTATAGTTACCATTTTTCATGATTGTTACTTCATTCATTGCATATTTTAGATAGTATTCGAAAATACTTATTTTAATTAAGAAATTGTATTTTATATAAAACATAGTTCCTTTTGAACCAAAGATGCTCGGCAGCTTGAATATGATTTAATAGGATGATTTAAGTACTTATACCAAAGGAATGTACTTATAAAAAAATAAAATAAAAAATATAATTACAAAAAATTTAATATACATTTGTACACATTGAAAACAAATATCATGTACTTAGCATATGTTTATTATGTACACATTACAATATTAATATAATAAATAGTTGTGGAATTATTACATTTTCATTCACTATGATTACAAGCAATAATACACTTATACATACAGGTAATATATCAAACAGCGAGTATTTCATTACATATTATTATTATTACAAACCACTATTTCATAGTGGAACATTGTGAGTTAGGTATTTATATAAATACTTACAAAAATATATTTGCTGAAAACAATCAAAAAATGTTTCATGGAATTCATTCAGTATTTATTTGAATATAATTATAAATTATTGGAAAGGCACATTTTGTATCACATATTTGCTTAGAATATAGTTATGTTAACTCAGTGTCTCTAATATGGACATTATATGGAATGATTGCTTAGTACTTAGCACATGAAATTTTCAACTTATACAATGAGATAGCTAAGTGGGTAATTTTGAGTTGCTAACTAAATGTTTAATGTCAGTGATGTTTATCTTAATGTAATCTGCCAAATTGCTTTGGTATAAATGATGTCTATACATAGGTAAATAATTTTTATCATAATATTGAGCAACACAAACGAAAATTAATTTGCTTATATAAAGTATTGTTTTAAACCCTGAAATCATATGGTAAGCGAATAGTTTAAAATGTTGCTTATTGTTCCCAATAATGTTAACACAACTTTAACTTTGTTACATACTACGATCACGCGGCAATATTTACAATTTCGACCTTATCTCATTGTGATAAAGTGCAGTTTAGGATTATGAGAATACGAAAGAAGGCCTACTTTTCTGCAGATAATGCATTGTTTACATTCTACGTGTAATAAATATGAAAGTAAAACTATTTGTAGGAAGAAGATTTAAATATTAATTATTATTTGTATGAATTAATATGTAGTTATTATAATCTAAATTCGGAATCACATTTGTACGTAAGATTAAACTGCGTTTCTTATTATTTAATTGAAATATCTAAATAGAACGCGTTGAACATGCACATTATAACCTGTAGCGTTCACCATACAAGTGTGATCCCTATCTTAAATTGTGGTGACAATAAGCTCAGTCTTTGTTTCGGTGGATGAAGGATCATAGCACTGGAAGGATTCACAAGCAGTAGGTAGGAGTTTATCGCAATGTCATGAGCTGGGTTGAGATTTTTTTGTTTTGGCTACTGTTGGATGCATTACGTAAGTATTGGACATTGCTCGTGGATGACTTTGAGTAACTGGCAATGCTGGAAGTTTATCTGTAGGATTTCGTAACAATATTTTTTTCTGAGACCCTGTCATTACCCTCTTAGCATTACATTCTTGTTTACTCTTAACATCTATGCTATCGGTGGTGTTTGAAACAGATTTAACGCACTTCCGTTCACTTTCACAGTCACTACCTGTTGGTTTATTTAACTTTGGAGCACCAAAAGCTTTAGTTTGTTTCAATAACGAACGGTCGTTACATAATGCCGCGATAAGAGGCAAATCAAGGTTTTTACTTTTCTCTCGGAGAGTTTTTATGTCTAAATCACAATTGGAGTCTTTCACTTTGTTCGCACTTGTTTCACTATTCACATTTGTTGAGGTTTGAGGACTTTTGACGTCTCGCGAGTAATTGACAAGTTTCTTTTTGTATTCGTAAGGCGGCGGGGGCGGCGGAGGCATCCTTCTCATCTTCACTGGCGGTGGATCTTTTGCATTCAGCACATTCTCATCCGATTTTGTCCGCATAAAATGTGAAACATCTGGAACTCGCGCAGGCACTTGTGGTCGCTCAAGATTTATGGAATGGTTGCTGAGCGACGTCCTGCTCGTTAGTGAGTACCAGCTCGTCCGCGTGCCGGGTAACTGCACGTAAGAATCCGACAGATTTTGGATCGAACCATACATGGACGACGCAGACATGGAAGTGGATAGGTATGGCGTGCTTCTGTATTGGAGGCCATTTTTGTGCATGTTTGATACGCGAGACTCAGTCAGTTTATGGTCGAGATAATTTTGCTGTGATAAGGCCGGGTCTTGTAGAGGATAGTAGACATAGTCAACGTCACTATATAGCTGCTGATGAAACATGGGGTTGTGCGGCGGTGGAGGTGGAGGCAGCCGTGTGGCTGGTGGTGGCGGTGGCTGGCGAGGGCGACGGGGCGCAGGCGGCGGCGGAGGAGGTCCCGGAGCCAGTTTCATCATGGCCACTAGTACGTTAGAGTCCACGATGTGTGGCATCTCTCGTGATGGTGACAAGTTGTTGTTTATCCCTTGAGCTAACTTAGATCTTTCAGCTCTACGACTCGACGCTTGTTGTCGCTTAAACTTTTGGAATTTATGTTCTAAGACCATGGGACTAGCAAAAGTTCTTTCACTAGATGCATTCACTTCTCCGGCTTCAGCTTTCAGGATTGTTATCATGGGTTTTGATGTTACCACACGGGCAGCCACTTCTTCCTTGTTCTCATTTAACTGTTTTAAAGACCTGGCTGTCACTGCTGTTCCAGGATATGCAGGAGGCGCCTTGGCGGGTGGTGCAGCATAAGATGTAACAGTTTGATGGTTAAATTCATAGGGAGGAGGAGGTTTTTCCGGAAATGAGGGTCTGATTGGTGTGTCGCCATTTATGTCAAAAATATTTGGTAGCGACAAGTTCAACAGTTTACGGCTATCAATTCTAGTGGGAGGAGTTGGTGGTCGGTCAAAGAAAGAGTTATTTGGATAATGGTCATCAGAGGGAGCAGTGTCTTCGTGACCCTTAAGGTAGCTGTCTCCAGAAAACGGAAGAGGTAACCTCACGTAGTCCGATACTGAGTCCAAAGTGTCACTTACGGACTGGCTCTTAGGATATACGCCTCTTCCCACTATAAGGTCACTTAGTTCACTCGCGGTAAGTAAGTTATGTTTATTGTCTGTCGGATCGCTCCCGTCGCCGTGGAACGAAATTGCACTAACGTTGGAATTTGTTCTTTCTCTGAATAAATTTTCTTTATTATGTTCTTGATTTTGAAACTTCGCAGCTCCATCGACACAGTCTGAGCTAGGTTGGGAAGATTGCAATCTTAATGTACCTGTAGCGTGACTAGTTCTTTCTGACTTATTTTTTAGTATCGATGATACGCTATCGAAGTCAGCAAGATCGTTTTCTTTCGCTGGCTTATAGCTGTCGTAATGTGAGCCATCATAGTCTGTTCTACTAGCTTCAGATAGAGTATCCATTTTGGATCGTGCAGTAAGTTCGGAACTGCTCATCGTGTAGACGCCACTTGTTTCACTCGACGCTGCTACAGTGACTGGTTGTCCCAATCCGTCGTACAAAGCAGATGCCGCATCTTGAGAATACTCTACGTCAATGCCAACAGTACTGTTGTCACTAATCATTGAGTTCTGAGCAGTATGACTATAACCTAGCTCGAGACTACTAGCATTGGATGCCCTACTTAGGGTACTAAGGCCCGCGCGTGCCATTATTACTGTACTGCAAGAAGAGGAACATTGTGATCCGGTACATTTCAATTTGTTTGATCTTGGACTGTCTGTCAAAGTTTCACTAACACTCTGATCAGGCAGTGAGGTCGTTTCTTCTAGCTGAGTTGTTGAATGCTGCTCTGGTAATGTAATGTCATTCCTATTTACATTCTCAGAGTCTTCCTTGGTCTTCTTTACACGCACTTTTGATTTTTGGAGTTTTAATGATGAGGTTTTAGTCAGTGGCTGATTATCTTGAGGCATATGTCGTATAAAATAAGAATTTGTACTGTCTAGCAAATGTGCAAAAGCTAAACTTTCTGTGGAAGGGGCTGGGGGAGAATCAATCATGATTTCCAATTCATCTTCAGATTGAACTCTGTCGCTCACTATGCCAGAGGTTGTGTTAGAACTGGTTGAAGAGATCACTGATATTCTTTGTTCACTTTTATTTTGATTGTATTGTGTATTAAGTGATTTAGAGTATCCAAAACAAATTTTTCGTTCTTCTTCTTCCTTTCTCAAGATTTCATTGAATTTCGGTGCAATTTTCATTGAGAACTGATGTGTTTCTCTGCACAAAGCGAAAAGATATTTACATTTTTCTTCGCTCGACGAAAATAGTGTTATTTTTCCTTCTTCGGTCCTAATTTCAAACTTCTTCCTATCAAAACTTAGTTTTCCAATGGCGCTCCATATGAAATTTGAGAGTGGGCCATTATCAGGTAGAATCTTTATGCCCTTAGCTGTTACAAGCAGCCACACAGTTCCAGGTTCTGGTTCTGATTTAGATTGTTTTAATCGGTATCTATGTGAGTTTATCGTGTCGGGAAGTAGACAAACTTCTCGAATGAATCTGATTTCAGCATCAGACTTTGGAAGGCCACGATGCTCTCGATGGCAAGCGCGCATAGCCGCCGCCACCCAATCGCCGGTGAGGGATGAGGGTGCATATTCATCCACTTTGAAGTAATCCCTGTCCTCATAAGACTCTGCATCACCGTATTCGGCTTGTAATGCTAATCCAGTAAGCAGTAGTATCACTTCGGCGGGCAATGCGTCTCGTGTGCGCACATTTTGCCGCAGCTGAAGGAAGTACAAGTGACGGCCGACTTCATCATGCAGGAGCAGAGGACTCTCCACGTGGAATTGCACGACAAGGTGCAATTCGAGGAGCGGCTTCCCATTTGCGTCCAAACCCTAAAAAAATAACGCATGTTAGTTTTATTCTTTGGTCAACATCAATTTTATTTTTTGTTTCGTTAAAATCTTCTAAACTTACATGAGTGTGAGATGACCTCCAGCTCTTTGGCGCATATTTTGATAGTTTACTGTCTAAGTCAACAAATAAGTATTCTCCATCTGAAAATAAAGTAAAAAGATTACAGAAGAATGAAAAATAAATTTTATTTATCTTTAAAAATAATTCATATAAAGATTATTATGCTATGGTCAATATACAATGCGCTCTGCGCTGTTGGAGAGTACATATTGTCTGCATAATGTGACATTGTGATGCCTGTACCAATATAGAACATTGATTACCCAACAGCGTTTGTTTGTATAGTTAGACAGAATGCTTACGAGGTGGAATGTATGACGCCATGCATACCTAATAGCTTTGTTATGTGAAATCACTCGGCAAACGTTTAAACTTAATATGAGTGATGAATGTTGAAAAATATGAGCTTCACTTACTTTGCAGAATTGCTAATCCAAAGAGTTCTGTGTCGGTCATGCCTTGTAGTTGTGCGTGAGCATTGGCCAAAGATTTCAATTCTTTGACTCTTGCTTTGGCTTCTACAACGAAGTGGAGTGGTTGGGGCTGGCCGGGCATGCGCAGGGATAGGAACCGCGCGCCCGCGCCGAGAGCGCGCGTGTCGCCGCCCAACGGCCCGCGAACCGAACACAGAGCACGCATGTCGCATCTCGAGACCACTGTTACTTGCGCTGAAACAAGAAAAATAAAAACACTGTAGCTAGGTACTCAATCTGCTGCAGACTTTCTATTAAGTAATGTAATGGAGGCTCTGGTGATAGAAAACGAGGAACATTGACGTAATAATAGAAGTTAGCTAGAGATTTCAAAACTGTCATTAACTTTCAAATAATCAATTCTTTTTATCAGTATTCTGATTGAAAAAGTGCCTGAGTTCTAGCCTGTATTTAAAAATAAGATAAACAGCAGATATACCAGTCAATCCAGTTACCAACGTAAAAAAATAAGGTACCCTAAAAAGTATTCTATTGAACATCATAATTGTTCATATACAATATTGTATACCTACGTAGGTAGCCATATACGTAAATTAGGTAGCTCATGTCTTCATAGGCCCGGATTCCAATGTGTTTACTTCTTTTTGTGCGTCATTAGTAGAGATTTAACTCACCCAAAACTACAAATATACGACGTAACGATAAGTCTGAGAACTTAATGCAGATGTAAATATTTTTTCCTAAGCGCTTTCTGTTCTTTTGACATTTGTTTTTTCTTATTTAATTCATCTTTTATGCTAAGGTAAATGTTAAAATGTGGTTTTATAAAATACTTGTTTAATGTAGATAAGTCCTGACAATGAATGTTTGGTCCTTTTCGGCGTACTTTCCTATTCACAAGAGCCTGAATGTTGTAGGACGTAGGAATGTCGGATCTGCGCCAGCTGTGCATTCCATTACCTTTTTTCGTACCCGATCTTCTTTTTGCTACCTGCTGTTTTTATGGCGCACATTGTTGCATTTACTCGTGAATTATATTTTTGAAAAATTTGAGCACAAGCGCACGTGTTCATTAAAAATGGAATGTCGGGATGGCATGTACCTAAGCCTTGTTTAATTATTTACGTCAGTTAAAAGCGATAATAATCTTAAGCTCGGTAATGCTTGTGACGTTAGTCAGTATGACTATTGCCGGATACTAGTTATATTAGAAGTGGTTTATATGAATGTTTCAAGTAACTGAATACTCTACAGTACATAGTTCTAAGCGCTATTATATTATACATATTAACTTTTCTACATAGAGGGTACTGTGGGTCCATGACGACATGGCCTCTTTCTGAAGGGTTTGATATAGGTGCACATATACAATTATCCACTTTTTATTGGAACGAACCTTTTGCTATGAAGCGGGCACTATTCTAAGCTACGTGGAATTTCTATCAAGTGTCGAAAAAAAATTTGCAGTCGCTCTTGCATTCGGGTTCAATCTAAATCTATATTATTCTCAGTATGTTCAGAATAGATAGGTGCCTTCGTACTCGTATTATAAAACGTTTATAGGAATGTCGAACCACAAGATCACGTAAAAAAACTAGACGCGAATAAATTTCATCCCATCCGGTACCTCTGCGGCTCTTCAGCTCTTGATAGCCATAAGAAGAACATGTTTTTTGTTTTAGTAAATGCGCGATAGTTTGTGATGGCGGTCAGGCGCAGCGGGGCGGGGGCAGACCGGTCGGGCCGGGCGGCAGCGGGTGGCGGAGGGGGAGGGGGGCGCTACGTAAGCGCGGTAGCAGCGGACGGCGACGCGAGGAATGCGGACGACCTTCAGATGCCGAGCGCCCCTCCCCCTACGCCAGCCGCATCTTGCGTCCTCGCATACCTAAAGCCGACGTTGCCTCCACTTTTCGACATCTCGCCACCAATTTTGACACTCAAAAATTTGTAAGGACGATAATGAACGAACTCAAACTAGGACCATCTATCATCTCTATGTATAGTTCCGACTACTCCAATGCTATACGGTAGGTATTTAAAATACCACAATCAGTTTTTTTTATTTAATTTATGGAAATGACTTTTATTTACCTTGGAGATAATCATCGATGTATAAAACAGTGTTTTGGTAATAAACCAGCTGCGAATACATGAAACTCAATCAGTTTCACTAGAATATTTAAGTATCACGCTGTTGCTATTAAAAGTATACCTATAATATACTTCATGCTTAGGTGTTAACGTAAGCCAAACGGTTTCCAGTCCTCTTATGCATTTCTAAGATTCTGCTGCTAGGTGTCCCGAGCTCCTATCTACGGCCAGCACAGAAGCTAACTGTTAGTAATAGAAAATCTGATTTGGCTGTCAAAGATAAAGTTTCTACTTAAGCTCTATACAAAATTTATCTATAGTTGGCTTTATCGACAGATACGATATTGAGACTGGTTAGGTAAGAAAACGATACAACGCTTATCTATTTTCCTTTTATCTTATTTTACGAGCTTTTCATGTTTAGGCTTTTCTTGAAGATGAAGATAGAAGGAAAGACAATCGGTTTGTTCACATAGGGATTGTAGACAGTAATATAAGTACAACAACAACAGATGATGTTGCTACTTAGGTTGATAAAAAGATGTTGAATGACTTTTTTGGTAATTTTCATATGCTGTTAGCATTACGGCGACTACCTGAAGTGAGCAATTCCTTAACACCTGTTGAGACAATTTTTATTAACAACGAATTGTGTTGAAGTTGCATACCGGGGTAAATTGCAAATCGCAATAAGTTATGGCGGCTTCGGGTCGGAATTGGAGTTGAAACGGAACGGGAGGTTTTCAAGAAGTCAGTAAGAGTCAGACACTGCCTCATACCTCATTCATTTCATGTTTATACTACAAAAAGAATGCAACACACATGAGACATTTAATATGAATCAAGACAAGGGCAACTATTATCAGATCTTTTCTCAATAATTCTGTATGCGGCTTGGTGACGTTTTTAGCTCGTACCGATAGTTATTTCCAACAGTATGGCAGCGCGACTAATGAAAAACATTGAAAACAATTTTACCTGCATTTTTATACCAATTATATTATAAGAACAAACTAATAGGTATTCCATATTGAACATTTCAACAACACCCTTAAAAAAGATTTTAGGTAGGTTATTTGTAAAATCGTATAAAAATTTGTTCAGTAAGTTTTGAGTTTATTGCGAATAGGTAGATAAACAGATGCGACGCGACACTCTGATCCCGAACCAAGGGGAAGCATAAAGGTACACTTCTCCCTTGGCTCTACCTAACCTTTAGGTTAGGTAGCGAACAAGTCTTTTAACTTTTTTAAAGAAGTTCCTGATTAACCTTGTATACAATAGTAAATAATTCGGAGAAATAAAAACAAAACAGAACTAACGACAGTATTATATCTAACGTCACTTGCAAACGTTACGTGAGAATAACGAGGATCATTATCTTGGCAATGAAAAGTGTCAAGTGGCCACTTATAATAATGGTGTAACTCTGCGACTTGCTTAGGTACTTAGTGCTCCCAAGTTCCATCTCTAAAACTACTTTTCTTACGTGCATATCATGATTATTCTGTAGGAGATTATCTAGTCTGAGTTATGAAAATTCTTAGCTATAAAAATGTACCATACACATATGACAGCCACATGACTCATTTAAGCATCATTCAATAGGTTTGGCTGCTAAAAATAGAACATATTGACGAAAGTTCCATAAAAATGGTGTCAAAATTTTACTTCTTCAGTTGAATAAAGTATCGATAGTAGGTTATTGAGATTCATTATCGGATAAGGGACGATTGTATATAGAGAGTTGGTACCGAATCATGACCAAGAGTTTTTTATGTGCTAAATCAGCGTCCATACGAGTAAAAGACCTCCAGGTCCAAATAGACGCACTCCAAATTCTGCGACGTTAGAGAGATCTACTTCTGTGTTACCTAAGTCTGATAGCATAATTATCCTGAAAAACTTGTACACTGCATACAATAAGGGACTCTCCCTTTATTAAGATAAAGTGAGTTTTTCACTAGATAATTAAATTAACCCCATTATGCAACGCCTGTTATGGCACAAGCCTAGAATAACAGTGCGCTAGTAAAACATTAATAGCAAGAGTTCATGGTTCAATGGGAACATCCGTAATAATTTGTATGACCTGGCGGTTAAGTGGTTAATACCCGACAATTGCGATTAAAGAAGGGTGTTAAAATTAAGCTCTTAGCTTATTTTTGCTTGTAGTTATTGATCAAATAAAAGTTGGCCGTATTGCACGAACTTATTTGATTTATATTGTGTCGAGTTTGTGATAGGGAGAATGGAAATACAATCCCCAAAGGGTGACTGTTGAGAATGATTCTAGCGTCCAGCTATACGCCTAATTTAATGTTGCATATCCTACTATCCTACGAATATTATAAATGTGTTTAAGAGAATGCATGGATGTATGTTTGTTATTTTTTCACGCAAAAACAGTTGGACCGATTTGCTTGAAATTTGGTATGAAGATAAGTGATACCCTGGATTAGCACATACGCTGCTTTTTATCAACATATCGCGCCGGCGAAGGCGGAATCTGGTATAGGTTAAAGTTATATTGCGTTCATTGCGTTGATCTTAAGTATTTTGGGATGTCAGGAAATTGATAGATATTGTTAGTGGTTGGGTCCTTGTGTCTATTAAAAATATAACTGCAGACTCTATCTTCCATTCAAAGAAATATGTTATCTACTTAGAACACAGCCCCTATTATGTAAAGCAAAGATGTTGGACATTGCTTACCTGACTAGGTAACCAATACAAATCATGTTTTTTTAGGTGAAAAAGATTCCTACGTTAAATTTATGAAAGAAGAACATGGCCAATGTAACAAATTGGGTAGTTTCCTAGGTCAAAAATAAATTAATTCGACGTTTCAATACCATAAAATATTGAAAAATAACTATACTTTTATTCATCGATCGATCGATACACTTAGTTTTAGATATTTTGTAGCTAGTTATTAAGAAATAAGTAAGCTATTTAACGCAAAATTTTTTGTCATTTGTATAAAAGTATTGAATTTGACTAGTTGGAAACTACCGTATTACAAATCACTTTAGTTTACATTGATATACATATGTATAATGTATGTTTACATATACTGCGGATGGCTTTCAAAACAAAACTACCTAAATGTAGGTATGTTGAAAGACTCTACTGAGTATCGTGTTCGTGTTTACATTAGTCAGTTGCGGATAGGGATTAGCAATTTATCTTTACGTAATTTAACGAAAGATTTCACATTTGATTCGATGTGATAATAGTGACATCACCTTTTATTGTGTAATATTTAATCGCATATCATTTTATACTACTGAATAGCTCAAATTTCAACAAGTGGGTCATGTTTTGTTTACATAGGAAACGAGGTTAGTATTCTAATACTGTCTTGATAATAAATTACTGAATGTTTCTAGTATGGGCATTGAGCAACAAGATTTACCGTCTCTGTGTATTCCAGTGTTCAAGAGTCGACAAAACATGTCATAAAAATGTTTAAGTACGCTTTGTCATTGGTTAAATAAAATTTACTTTTATTTACCTACTCGTTCTGCTATCAATGGAATGCGGTCGCGGTATTTGTCGTTTATTACGAGTCAACTGTTAATGATTCATCGGTTAGGTACCTGTATCAATCACTGCACTATGTTAGACCACAAATTATTTCAACTATGTCGAGATAATTATGTACCATTAAACAGGCCCTACAAAAGTATCTTTTACTGTTTATTCACGTAACTGTTTAACGCGGTATTGCAACTATTTTCAAACTACGGCTGGGGCTCATAGCATTCGAGTAAACTCGTCAAACAGTTAGGTGTGAGTAAGCAAGCAGTAAAAGACGATAGATTTAAATAGGTAATGTATCCTTAAATGTTACATTAATTACAGGAAAATAATCCTCAGGAGTCTCAATGTTACGTATGTTTAAGCTTCTATCAGACTTTATGAAACAGGCCCCTAGGCTCATCCAGATCTATTACAGGAGATGTTCATCATTTGTGAGGAAATTGATTGCCTTGATTGAGGTCAGATTCTAGGAACGACCCTTCGTTAGCTGTTTTGTAGTGTTGTTGCAATCAGAAACTACAACGTTTAATAACTATGTATAGATACCTCTTTCTATCCGCCCGTAGATGGCAGTTGGTGTCACTTTTAGGATGTGCACGACCACGACACGATATTAGCTAGTTACATGATAATCCTATTGATATTATAAGCGAATAAAATTTGATGGATCTCATAAACCTAATAAACTAGGAAAAGAAAATGTATGGATATTTGTGTCTTCCACGTAAAAATAACTAAATTAATTTTGGAACAAATTGTCACCGAGATAGATTATAGTCTGGAATAACATAAAGCCTATTTTTCATCCCGGTACCCGGTAGAAGCCAGTGCTGAGGCATAAGTTAGCATTAGCAACAGTCTGACAGTCTACAGGTAGGTTAAAAACCTCTTCTATAGAAAAGAGTTTACCACAACCTCTATACTGCATGAAGTTACTTCTCTCTCCCAAGATGAGATGTATTAGACTCTTACTGACTGAAACATCCCTGTTTCCTCTGCTCTTATAACGCTTGTCCCCTCGACCCCGGCTGGCGGGCTGGAGATCACAATTTAAAAGGTCTACGTTCATCAGAGATACCCCATCCCCAGATTCCTTTGCTTGAGAAGACTACCTACTAATTAATTAATATTCAAGTAAATTTAAGCACTGCTCTAGCAGATTGGAAACGAATTGTTGGATTTCCATTAGTTATAATTAAACGAGTTGGACCAGTTCTTAAGTTGTGTTAAAAAAAACATAATAGTTTCCTTGATTAGTGAAACAATTAGCGGTAAAATTATTCATTCATTTAGTTTTTATACCTAATAGTTTCGCTGATAGGTACTCTCATACTCTGGTACCTATGTATTTAAATACATTGAATTAAATCTAATATATTTTATGTAGGCTAGGAACTGTTCTGAGAATATTAATCAGTAATCATGTTTTGAAACCAAAATAAACAAAGCAGTTGTAAGTATTAAAAATAACACGTGCGTTTGTTTAGTTAGGAATGTAGGTACCTGGCAGACTAGGCATTCTCAATTACTTTTTTTATGTAATCACCTAACTATGTAAGATTTGATGCTTTCTGTTTAGTAGGAATGAAATGCTGACAACATTTTATTAATATATGAGATGATAGATTTTCAAAAACGACAGGTTTGTAAAGAGCTGTCGACTTGTACTTGACTACATATGGTGTGGACATTAAAATTAAATATTTCTCCATAACATACAGAGTTGAGCCTCATTAGAGTATTTAATTGACCCTAGAAGTGAGTCAGAGAGTCAAGCAGGATGTTTGTTTATAAGTAGAGCGTGACGTGATGAGCTAAACAAATCCCGTTCGGATTTCGGACTAGTTTTGCGGAATCATAATTAATACCTACATTTAAATATATTATACTACATGCTAAACTTCTCATGCTTCCTTAATAGACCCCCTTAATGACGTTGAATGATGATCTGTCGAGTTGCAGACTACTGATCCTACCTAAATCTTCAATGGATGTAGGTACCTATGATTACCTAGGTCCTATTATTTGCCTATTGATTTAATAATGTTTTAAGCGTTCTGCTAACGTACCCACTAAAGTAGTGCATAATAGGTATTTCCTAGTATTTATGAATATTAATATAAAAATAAATGAGTGGTAATTTTGGAACTTATAATCACCGTATAAACTCCTGCGTAATAATTGCCTAGTTTCTAATGAATTTTAAACTGCAACTCGTGTTTATCAGTCTTCATATTGACCATTTGCCGCGTTGAGCATGGCTGGTATTGCTGGTGTGGTGGTGTCGAGGAAGGGCGCGCGAGCGCAGGGTCAGCGGCCGCGGCGCGGTCGGCGCGGGCGCGCGGAATTCGAGCTATGCGTATGAAATGAAAGTGGCCGCATCGTGAAAGCGCGCGCATCCACTGCGGCTGCCCATGGCGCCGTCTGGGTTCATCTCACTCACCATGAATAGATAAATCCTATACAGCTGCACGTAAAGTCACTATAATCCTTGGTTAACCGCATCCATTGGCACTACACTTCACAATAAGTCGCGCGATCTTGTAAGTTGAATGGCGTGACGGCTGACGTCGAGGCGCACTAAGTCCATGGGCGCGCTAGTACGACTGAGTGAAGCGGGCGCGGGCGCGTGGGTCGGCTGCGAAGGCACGCGCGGGGCGCGCCGCGACTTCGGATCGGTGGAATGCGGCAAGATAGTGCTGCCCCCGTTAGTAAAAAAGACGCATCTAACATTTTTTCCAGATTTGAGTTAAATACATTGCCGGGATCAGAAAAAAAAGGCGCATCTGCCTGTATTTTTAATATTTTGCTAACTTTCTCCAGTGCGGTTTTAACACAACGAAATAAGACGCTTCTGTATTTTTTTTTAAATCTGATTGAAGATGAAAAGACGAATTTATCGGAAACTTAGTTGAAAAGTCGCATTTAAGTAGATAATGTCCATTTAGTCTAAAGTTTTTTTCTTAGTTCGGTAATGTAAAAGGCACATATTTGTCCCTATTTCTAAGAGGAAGTTAATAAGACGCAAATACGCGTTTACGTCTAACACGCTATGTAAAAATTGAGTTTATAATAAGAAAAAAAGACCACATCTAACAACTTGCGCCCTATTTATTTCGTAAAATTGATTTCGCATACACGTATTTGCCATAAGCGCCTTAATAACTTACGTTAAAAAAAAATTAAACAACAGTTAGTTAATAAAAAAGACGCAAACGTGCATAAACGTCCTTTTTTTAAAAAATTGTGTATAATGCGGAGCTTGCGCGGGGTGTTGGGGGGGTATGTTTTGTACGGCGCCTGACTAGTTTCTTTGCCAGTTGCGCCCGAGTAAGTTGTTGAAGAGATGCGTCGCGGTTGCGCAAGTTTTCGCTGCGTAATTCGTCGTATAAAGTAAGTAGGTATATTTATTATTTTCTGTTTTGGTATAAAAAATAATATCACACTAACATGAAAATAGGTCGATGCTTTGAGTTAGTTAATAGGTAAAACTTTAGCTTCCACTAGTACGGAAAGTACAAATAGTACTGGAGTAGAAGGGTGATTCTTCACATCAATTAAAAAAAAATTAATAATGTCATTATCCTCAACCGAAAATTAACGAGTCTGCTGATTAAAACACAGATAATTATTTTATTAAATTTAATCTCACCACTGCTTACAAGCAACCGATTAAAAATATTGTATAAAGTAAATTACTAAGATGCTTAAAAACCTGGGAGGATAATGACTTGTTAAATAAATGTTAAGGTTTTTTGGAGAATCACCCAGAAACTACAGAGCGTATGACAGTCTTTGCAATCGTAGTTCAATTTTAATCTGTTTAGTTGATATAAGTGATTACAATCTGTTTAGTTGATAGTGTATGCCACTGATTCATTAATGTACTCAGAAATCGACTTGCGCAAGACGACATGCATTCTCCATCCTTGGGACTTTCATTGAAAAGCCTGCATAATGTCGCAGCTAGAGTTTTGACATAATCAAATCGAGCTAAAAATTCCTTGAGTGCCTTGCTCATTGTGATTATCAAATCGCTGCTGGAAATAGGTTTCTCTTGTAAACATATGTCCACAGTTTCGCATCAGGCGCAAGTATCGTGCTCTGGAGTATCAGGATTAAACTCAGGTGACGTTATTTTCGTGCTGGCTGCACGTGGTTCCCGTATAGTACGAATGAATTATATCATACTTTGTTGCTGCATTTTAAAAAGACAAAGTTTCCATATTTTAATCTCCTTATGTTGTGAAATATTAACGTGCTGACCTGTATTCTGTTCCTGATTCGTTACAGGTAATCCCACTTCTGAGCGTCAGAAGGAGCCTCGTGGCGGTCATGGTTGTCACTTTCTATCTTGGGCGTTGTAACGACCGGAATTCAAAAATAAAGGCACGCTTGTATTATTTGGTTTCCTCGCTATTTTATTCACAATCACACAATCAATAAGATTTTTTTTTGTGAGGGGAAAATCATCAAATGACTTCTCCCGCCCAGGGTCGGGTGGGAGGGAGTGTCAGACTCTTACTGACTAAAAACCCTCCTGTTCCTTCTCCTTCTCTGTGCCTAGGTCGCGGTTCCTCATTGCGCTTACCCCGCAACCCCGGCTGAACATCAGCCATTTAGGGGCCCCGTCTGTGGTGGTCTATTGGCTCTTTGAGGCGCGCGCGGAACGCTACGCGCCGTACACTCGGGCCTGGTTCTGGTCGGGCGGCGAGCTGCCCTTACTCGCCGACCGCAGGCCCGTGCTTACGGTGGCCGGAGATCGTCCCTTGATCCCCGACGCCCGTAGTTACTTTACTTACTTGCTATAAATAAACTAGTGCTTGACTGCGATCCTACCTGATGGTAAGCAGTGATGCAATCGTTGATGGTAAGGCGCACTAGTTTATTAACACCTAAATTATATTTGGACGGAAAGACTGCAGCCGGCAAACTGTTCCAATCCCTCGATGTACGCGGTATAAATGACGAGGCAAAGCGCTTAGTCCGGGCCAGTAGTGTCGCCAGTTGCGGCTGCTGGGGCGTGAGAAGGAGGATTGCTGCCTCACGCAGGCCGACTCTCTCTTTGCGAGCTTGACTGCTTCACAAAAGGAGGAGACGGCGTCCCAGTTCCTCTCACTCCGCACCATGGCCTCGCGAAGGCCGGGCGCGAGAGGTCGCCGCCACCGATCACTTCCCTGAGGATACGGCGGTGCTCAGCCCAGGCAGGGGCTTACCGTATGCTCCACCGTATCCTCTAGGTGGTCCTCACAATGACGACACTCGGGCGTTTCCTCCCGCTGGATTCGAAACAGAAACCTACCGAAGCTGCCGTGCCCGGTAAGCACCTGCGTCAGGCGGAAGGTGAGGACGCCGTGGCGTCTCTCAAGCCACTCCTCAAAGAGGGGTCTTACCGCTGCTATAGTAGCGTGCCCGACAATCAATAAGATGGAATGAGAATTTGAGCCAATAGGTTAGCGTGTACACTTCGGCTGGCAGCTGTCAGCAAGATGCCCGCTGCCATTCCTCGTAGTGACACTTACTACCCTATTCGGGGTTACCCGCTCATAATAATGTTACCAATAAATTAAAATTGAGTTATGATTAACAATCAATTGTAAAGACCCCCAATTATCTTTGTTATTAAAAATAATCCATAATCAGTCGCCAGCGCCGTCATATATAATTTTAAGTTTTCGAGCCAGTTAAAATATAAATGAAGAGTGATGTTTTTGTTTCTTTTGATATTGTTTTTTTTTTACTTTAATTATAATAATGTTGTTGGCAAAAAACTTTTTATAGTAGTGTGATAAATAAAGATATAAGAGATTTATAATGGATCTGTACCTGTTTAAGACTGATAAAGCTTAACACCGTGACATTGCTCAAGTGTAATTCTTATAGTTCTAATTTAAATTATATTTGAATATGCCAAGGTTAGCATTTTGTGTTTTGTTATTAGTCAAAAGCATTTTAAATAAATATTTCATTGTATCAATTGCGTTTTATTTAATAATAATACATTAATAAACTCGTAGTCATCATAATAGACTATTATTATGATAACTACGAGTTTATTAACATTTAAACCATAAATAAAAGAATTATTAAATTATTATTTAAACATTTTATCTTAGTCAAGGGACATCTATGAAGTTATTTATTCTTAAGAAAAAAGGCGGAAATGACCATATGCGCCCATTTTTGTTAAAAATATATACTAGATAAATAATATAAATACTTAGAAGAAAAGTACAGGCAAAGGCGTTTGAAAATTAAAGGACGCATCTAGCCATTTACGTCTATTCAATTAAGTATGTGATATTTTTCCTAATTTTTTATGCTAAGATGAAAAGGTTTTTCTAATATTTTTATTATAATAATTTAATAAATTTATATTATTATTAAACCATGTCAAAGGTCTTTATAATGGGCTTTATTTTCAACTTTTCATATCTAAATATTTTAATTCACACGAACACAGCAAACAATTTCTTGTTTCATTCACTAAAACATTTTTTTCTCCGTTTTTACTTTTTGTTAGATACGTCTTTTCAACTATCAGGGGCAGAGTGGCGCGCGGGTACCGGCCGAGGCCCGCTGTAGGCTGGAGCCTCCGTGTGGGTACGGTGTGCGACGCGACTCGGCGGCGTCACTGTGCGGACGGAATGCGCGCGGTCAACCTCTGCCCATTAAAATAAATAGAATTTCCAAACACTTTGAGGCCGCGGCCCCGGCGACCTGCCTATGAGCACCTCTAATCTTTTGTTTAGCTTACAGTTAAGTCGACAACTAGGGCTCTACTTAGTGCGCCCACACTACTCAAACTTATGACTTTTCTAGATTCTTTGCGCTATGTATTTTAAATAGATACCTACCTACCTAGATTAAAGTAGGTTCATGAGTTTATAGAGTGGGTATATTTTAAACGAGTAGGTATAGCATACGTAAGCCGTGTAATATTGATTTTCTAGGAGGTTTATTAGTCGGTAATAGAGTCATTATAGGTAAATACCATACCACACCTTTTCAAAGTATTTATACCTTTATACTGATTGATCTTTTATTATATGTTATATACCCGGACTGTGTAGATATAACATGTAATTACATTAGTTCATTTAACGTATAGTCGCAGGTTTGAGTCTTGGTTCATGTTATTGGTGTTACCTACATACTATTCTATTTATTATTTTATGAACATATATGTATAATAAAAACCTCGTTGTTTTATTTAACTAGTCAATAATATGCAGGATTCAATTCCATAAATTGGATTTAACTCGTATTTACCTTAGGATTAAGAGCTTGTTTGCCTGTACCAAGCACATCACATGAATACGACAGGGTTTGCGATTGGAGGCGTAATAATGAAACGCGGCCCCAGCTATGAGTTGGGGAAGATGCTGCTGGGTGGTGTTTAGTCAGTAAGAGTCGGACGCTTCTTCTCGCTTCACTCCGGGGCGGACAGCAGCCAGGCGGTAGACAGAAGTCACACGAAGACATCCTCATTGAAAAAAAAAACATTTGGGTACCTACTACTTATACAACGTGTCGCGGAACAATTCTTTCCGGGATTTACAAATTGTTGTCGATGCCTGTATTTGGTTTGCAAACGCACAAACGACACAGGAGAATAACTAACAATTTTTTTCAAAAACAAATTAAGAAAAATGGTAAAAAAATATACCTATCTAGTCTTAAAATACTATGAGAACTGTTCTAAGGATTTTCTGTTTAACTGACTTCAGAATAATAATAACTATTCTCAATTCTAAATGAATAAAAACCATTAATAAATTAAATAAGGGAAGTCTCCCTAGTTATAAATTATTTCGACGTTTCAATAAAATAAAATATTGAAATATAACTATAATTTCATTGATTTGTTGATAAAACTTGATTTTCTATATTTTCTAGTCCAGCTTATTTTAGTATCGTTAGAGTATCGTTTTTGTCATTTGGATATATTGAATTTGACTAGTTTTTATTTTAAAATTTAGTTTGTTTCCCGGTTTAGTTAAATGTTGCCATTTATTGATAAAATTGTGATAGATGCACAAAGTATACAAATGGACATAGATTTTAAGTTAAGGATTGTACATAAATATTCAAACTAATTTTAAGTGTTTGTTTATTTATAGTACCGTTAAAAAAAATACCTAATTATAATCATTGTTCAATCGTTATGAGTTACTAATACCATTAGTGGATTAAAACAGTGAAGTAATAAATATCTAGAGTGGTATCAAATTATATTTAAATCTATCGAATGATTTGGGCATTTAGTCGAGTTTATAACACATTTGATCTGTCAAGACATCACTATTGTTTCTGTCATTATCCGGATAGCTGTCATTCGTAATCACCAGCTGTCACCAAAATCAAAAAAAAAGAAATGTCAGTTCCAACTTTTCTTGTTGACTGTTGAAGATAATTTTCCTCATTATTTAAATCAAAAATTAAATTAATTAGAGTTTTGTGTTTTTGCTTCAAAATATAAGTAGTGAATATGATTTTATCGAAAAGTACTGTGTGGTTTTTGGGTTTTCTTTTATTGATATCGATTTTTATGGCAAATTTATTGAATATGATTGCTACGGATCATAATTTTTATATTGAAAACGAAAATGAGGGAAAAAACTATACCAAGTATTTAGCTGAAAAATATGGAAAAATTACGGATACAACGGAGAAAATAATTTGGTTTCTTCAGGTATGTCAGCTTTCATATAAAGTGTGCACTTATTCACCTGATCATTTAACTGTGACGTAGTTTTGGAGACAAAGGCAAGTGATAATAAAGAAAACTGTAGTCGTTATAAATAAATAATGTCGTTACTTTTCTCATTGTGTTATTTTAAAGTACTTATTTATTTTCGCATTGTATTTATTATCATAATGGATAATATTATTTACAAAGGCAAGCAGTGTTGATAACATTACGTTTAATAGATTTCAGATATACATATTAGTATTTTTCGGGATCCTGGAAGAATATCACAATTTCAACAATTCTGTGATAACACAGTCAAGAAAATAAACCCTGCAATAGTTTTAGCAACGGGTGACTTAACTGATGCTAAGGCCAAAGATAACTTAGGTAGTTCCCAAGTGAAGACAGAATGGATATATTATCATAATATTGTACAAGAATCAGGAGTCACTGATACTACTGTCTGGTTAGACATAAGAGGAAATCATGGTTAGTTTTCTCCACTTTTGTGTCATAAAAATTTTAATATATTTTATATTCCTTTTAAGTATAAATTTACTTAATAGTCAATAATTACAACAATACCATTGTTTAACTGTTACAAAGGTAGTAGTGAATAAATAAGGCATGGTAATGACATGACTCACTAACTTTTATAGACAGTCTATCTATGTAATCATACTGTATGGATTAATTGTTATCAAAAGTTTCCTTTTTTAATTTGTTGTTTATATAAAAAATATTCAGTTTTTTGTTTAGCAAATTAAAATTGTGTTTATTAAGCACTCATAGTAACTTAATCAGGGATATAGTCAACATAATATCAATTTACATTACAGATAACTTTAACATCAGAACAATAAATTCTCAAGAAAACTACTTCAGGAATTATTCAGTACAAGGGCATAAACATGCCAAGTCTTATGCCCATTATACACAATCAAATGGTGTCAGTGTTGCATTTCTGGGTGTTGATGCATGCCCAGACCCTGGTCTCAGAAGGCCATTTAATTTTATTGGCTTATTGGACATAGCAGAACAACAGCTTCTTCAGAGGCTCAAAGTAGAGGCAGAAAGTAAAGCTGACCATATTGTTTGGTTTGGACACTACCCTACATCATGCATACTGTCCCTTGAAAATAAAGCCTCGAAAGTTAATTTACGCCAACTTATTGGTTCAAGTCAAGGGTCTCATGTTTATGTTTGTGGACACTTACATTCTATGGGTGGATTAGTCCCAAAAATGTACACCAAACAAAAGAAAGGCTACTTAGAGCTTGAGCTAGGAGACTGGAAAGATAACAGAATGTACAGATTGGCAGCTATAGATCATGGACATTTCTCTTTTGTTGATCAAAAACATAATGTCTGGCCACTTGTGCTGGTCACAAATCCAAAACATGCTAGATACATCATGCATGGTCGGGAACCCTTACAATTAATTCCTGACTCAAGTCACATAAGAATTCTCGCATTTAGTGATGTAGCTGTTAAAAATGTGGATATATCCTTTGATCAAATAAGTTGGATGACATGCAGGAACACGAAAGGGCCACTTTATGTATGTCATTGGCTACCTCATTTATTTACAAAAGGTATTCACTATTTATATGTCAAAGTTTATGATGAGTTAGGAAGAGAAGCCTTTGTAGAACACCCCTTCACATTGGATGGAAGTGCAATGAGTTTTGAGGTTTCGCCTAGAATTTTGCTCATGCTGGATGCAGGAGTAGTGGTAAGTTGCTACTACACTATCAATAATTGAATTTTGTGAAATTATAGTATAAGACTAATTCTCTTGTTTCATCAGTTTCAGGCAATATTTGGAACACTTCTACTGATTAATGTTTTGCCACTAGTCACTTTAAGATTATGCAAGAGACCCCCAAGATACCGTGGGAAATATGGTCGACAGATTATAAAGAGACTCTGGCTACTGAGTAAAGTCGACCGGGTGTTTTATCCTATTGTTTTGTATGCAGCTTATCTTCCTTTTGGTCCATGGGCCATTGGAGAGCTTATAGATGGCCATGTGGGGGCAATTTTTGCCTGGGGAATATTGATAAAGGGGTCATACCTACCAGAGCCATTTACCTATATGTATGGAAGTGTGCAACTAATGTTTGTACAAGTACCTTTAGTGTTTGTATTATGCCACTGCTTAGACTATCGTCTATATGGATATTATGTAAGGGGAGTGAGGAGATTGATATTGAATCTGCCATTTGTCTTCTTACTATCAATACAGCTGCTACTGGCATACTTCTTTTGGTTGGAATATGGAACAATGTCGTTCCTATTTGGACCACTAAGAACGTGGAGTATTGCTTTAAGTTTATTATTGTGGTATAAGACATTGAATTTACCTCCAGAATATTGTAGGTAAGTAACAGGGAATATTAAAACAATGTTGTATGTTTGAAACTGAGCCTTATATTTATTTAAATTATTTTGTTTTTTTTTTAGAAACCTTCTAAAGCTGACTGAAACTCCATCATAGTATTTTAACGAGAGGAGGACTTTGAATAAACTGTACAGCACAAGTATGTGTCGTGTGTTGAGCTTAGCAGCTTTCCTTAACGCCAAAGTAGTCTTGGCTTCTGTGGAAGACACGGTATCAACATACTATTAATATTAACGAATAATAAAGAGATTAACATATTTCATAGTTTAACTTTTTAAGAACTGATTTTGAAACGACACATTACATTTTTTCTTATAAATTTTTACTTGAATTGAGGGTGTGAGGAATGATTGTTTACAATTAGTATTTACCTACACCAAAGAATTAAATTATAATTTTGAAAGTTAAATCGAAATGTGAACACGTAATACGTTAATTATAAAGTCCATTTGCTTTATAAATGACTTATTTATTAATATGTTGATTCTATCATTAATTGACATTTTAAAATAATTATTTTCTCACATTTGTGTTGATAATATTTTATTATGTGTTGCACACAAAGCATACACTAATTATTTTTAGTTATTTGACTAAACAAAAACCTATTTTGTTATACTTAAAAAAATATATCATTAATCTAGATCCTAGTCGGAGAGAAAACTAAAGTATTTAGTGAAAAAGCATTTATACACTTTACTGAAGCAAAAAAATAAAACAAATAACGAACAAAATGAAAAAGCCTTGTAAATTTTTTACGGTAAAAACATTTTGAAAAGATTAAGAGTTATTCTTATCTTTGATTTCGTAATTCGTATCGTATCTTAAAACTATCTCGAAAATAGCTCTCGAACATCACAATTCAATATTGATAATAAAATTCTGATGGTGCTTCAATTTGTACAGGAAAAAGTATACAAAAAATAAAACATGAAGTATAAAAATGAAAAAATATGTATTATATAAAAAAGTATTGCAATTATCATCACATTCACCTATCTATCTATGTACCATTAGTTTTATTTGCTTAGTACCTAAAGAGGCTGTGAATGAGTCGTTTGAATGTGCACACGCACTTAATTTTTACATATTATTCATTGTACAGCTTTTATTTAGACATAGTTGTGTCATTCCTGTTAGTCGCTTGAAAATATTTTTAATTTTTCGCTAATTATTATTTTTTATTATATTAATTATAAATTATGTACATATAAAATGATGTATTATTATATTATACAAGATTGCAACATCACCTAACGCATGAAAACACTGTATTTGCGAAAATTCATACGAATCATGCTAGCCTGCTAAGTTTAATGATAAACATTTTTTTTCTATTAAAAGTGTGCACGAACTTATAACTTATGTCATACTTCATATTGATTTATTGTTGATAAACGCAATGCAATCTTCGTTAGGCCTTAAAACAAGACCTAGGCTAGGAGAATAAAGACATTGTTGTGTTACCTTATTATAATAATACAATGCTGTAAAGTATACTTAATAGTGTTATCACGCTGTAAGTTGTAACATGATGTAATAAAATTTCACTGCGCACGCGCTGGTTATGTGTTAATTCCTCAATGTCTATTAAAATTCGTGTAGATTCATGTTCATTGTTCATAATGAAAGCTATTTAGTATGCTCACCTTCAGTATAGTTTACCGAAGACTAGTTTTTAACCTTATTCTTCAAAAAATAAGGACGGAAATTGGTCAGTGTGTCTACCTATAGTGTGTCAGATATAATGGCGTGGGTCTGTTTATTTGGTCTATCAACTGCTTTTAACTATGATCGTTGAATGTAATATTCCGTGGTGCTAATTACATAAAAAAGAAAAAAAAATGCTAAAGATACCTTCTTTTGAAGGAGTCATTTCATTAAAAAAAAAAAAAAAAACTGTGAAAAGCAAACTATTTTGAACCTTTCAAAACAATTAATTCAACGATCGTAGTCTAGCTATACTAGCTTCTTAAGATACCTATCTCTGAATTCTATATTCAAATTTCAACTTTAATTTTGAAATATTAAAGGTGAACATTTAAGAAAGATTGGGTTATCTTGATGTGCTGGTCTGCTATGCTATTAGTTATTAGTATTTTGTCATAGTCTTAATGTCTAGTCTGGACAGTATTTTTATAATGTAATGTATGTAGGTACATTGTCAATATTATTATATGCTTGTACTGAATTTGATGTAATTATTGTTACTTATAATTATAAAATAGTGAAATATGTTGTATGTTTTGCTAAAATATCTTAAGTTGAAGCGTTATTTGTTTTCTAGCTTCGTTCTTTTATCTTTTAAATTCGTCATATCATTGTTTTTTGTTCATTCGAAACAATTGCGTAGAACATGCTTATAATAAAAGACAACAACATGGTATTGACATGTTTCGAAATACGAATAAAATTAATTCGAAATGTAAGTTAGTTTAGTTCTAAAAAAAGTTCTTTGCAATGAAATTTGCATTTTTTGCCAAGACGCTAAAATTGAAAATTGCACTGACGCACAAATTAACGGATTCTAATTTATGTAGGTATTCGTAAATCGATTGTGCGACTATCTGTCGATTTCCTTCCATACATTTTCAGCTTTATTTCTTTGAAATAAAGTCGCGAATTTATTGAACAATTTTACTAGTTTCAAGTACTGACCATTGTACCGGGAAATACCTACTGGTTATCACCAAGTCTGTTATCTAATTGCCCTTTGAACCATGTATTGTTGGCACAATTTAAGTGTTATCAAACAATAATTTAACTGAGACAATGTTGTGAAAATTGTACCGATTATACATATTATAATTTATGATATAAAAGAAACATTATTAATAAACAAAATCAATTGTACAATATTATCGACGGAATAAATAATTTCATGTCATTTGCATTTTTTAATCAAATAAATTCATTGAGAGAAAAGTACTATCAACAAAAATTATGTCTCTAACAATGAGTGGAAATATATTAAGAAAAAATATGATGAGGTTAACTACATAAAAAATCGGCAAATATTTTTCTAGGGGTTTTGTACTCGTGTGATTATTATTTCTATTTTATAGTAGGTATAGTTAGCATAACTGTTTATGTACTTGAATAACTACCTTAGAGGGAGTCAAATAAAGCAGACAGGACTTTTGTTGATAGTACATTTCATAGCGCCCTGGTCAATCCATATCTATCCTAATCCGAAATAACGATTTAATCATCTTACCTTCCCATTGATGTTACGAAAAAATAAAAATATATTTTGCCAAGAAATATAAGTATGTAATAGGGTAGGTTTCAATTCAAGTCAAACGTAAAGAACGTCATTTTTCTATGCTTGTTCTATCAGCACTTGACGTATTATTTTTTACATCGAACAGCATACTTATTTTTTTTAATTATCTAAAAACTCGAACATACGATATACTGAATGTCGTAAAATTTATTAATAATTTCAAGGTCGGATAATTTATAAATATTTTCATGGTTTTAACAAGTTGAAATAATATTTGTTTGACTTAGAAAACTACCCAATTAAAAAAGTATAAAATAAATACATAAATCTCACTAATAAGTTTCATTCAATTACTTACAATACAAACATCAATATAAAATCATAAAATTACACATTATTTGTACTTAAAAGTACTCTAGATAACTACACACTCTTATCAGATCAACGTAAGTATTAAATGTTGTTCATTGCTTGCTCTGTTTAGAATTAAAGTGAACAGGTCAACTTATAGATACGTAATGTACATAAAACAAGGTTCTTTCACTGTGAGATTTAGCAAGTAATCTTCATTTATTTACCTAGACTAAACATCAGTAACTTTCTCTTATCTACAAGCCTTATATACCCGTAGTAGTAAAACAATTACTAATGCTATTTGTAACAAAACTATCCATAGGACTAAAGCTAAATAATCAGCATGTAGGTTCCTAGAAAGGCCTAGGAAGTCTAGATGTTTTACAGGGTCCTTGAACATGCAAAATACATCATAGCATGGTAGTTTTCCTCTGCCCATCCCATATACGGTTTCCAGGAAAGCGTCAAATGCGTATCGGAAGTATGAGATAGTAGCGAAGGGGCGAAGATATACCGGCATCTCACGGTAAGGTATGAAGAATTCGGAGAACATCAACATTGGAATGTTTGCCGCTGGAATCACGAACAGTCCCAGCTGAAATAGAAAAAAATATTTAGATATATTCAGTAGGTGGAATTTAGACTGAAATACATTACCAAAAAGCCTCGGTTTCAATACTTTGTTAGCACGCGACACGACGCGACACAACAAGACACAGAATAATGTATTTCTGCCATTATAAGACACGGACATAATAATATCCATTTATTTACTCGTACCTATGTACCTAGATATTTTGTGACCGTGGTGGAAACAAATTGAATTTATTAGCTATCTACCTAGTAGGTACCTAATTAAATTAAGTCAGGTCAAGAGCCACATTTACAATAATCACGAAGAAATGCATAATGTAGGTAGGTCCTATCTACCACTAATAGATCTACCTCTATCTACCTATTCCTTATGTGTGCCATTATCATTAGGTACCTAATACCTACATATAGAATAAAACATTTTGTTATAAGTATAAACTTGTTATTACTACTTAATGACCGTAGTTTATGATAGTTTTATGAGCTTGCTTACCTTCATTCCACACGACGCGCCCACGACGAATCCAAATGTCTGAGCGAGTATGGTGACTAGAGCACACGTGAGCCACGCTAACGCCATGCGCTCTGGTTCAAGCGGTTGTGAAGTTAAATACCAGGCGGGAAATAGGAATACTGTCGCACATAATAACTGTAACAAATATAAAAAAGATATTTGAGTACAAGTAGGTACAAGCGTAGGAACTAGCTTTAGTCGAAAAAAGGGTAGGGTATCAGTCGCGATTCTCCTTACTAATCATAACGAAAGAGTTTTTGAATATAACTCTACGTAAACATACTTAAATGCTTAAAACCCAAAGAAATCAAAACAGAAGAAATATACAAAAACTATATTTTAATCAAAAATGTAATATCTAAAATCTGTAGGAATCAAAGGGACTTATCGATGGTAGGTACGGTGTTACCCTTACTCGCCGCCCCGCGCTTACGTTGGCACTAACGTAATTGTCTGGATGAGTCATTAGGTCATATATCTACTTACTTGTATAGGTAAGTCCACGATGATTTTAGAAGCACAATACACTGGCAAGGAGTACCACTTATTCAAGTGTTCATGCAGTACCACCTTAGCTTCCACAGGGACTGAAAACAAGAAAAAAGTGTGTAAAACTAATCTCGTTGGCTGCGCAAGCGCAAGCCCATTTTCACGAAATTGACACCACGATAGGCGAGAAGTAATTTTCACATTAAATATGTGCACCTCTGCTAATACATATTCACTCTTATTCCTGTATCTACTAGCTTCCACAGCAGTCTATGAGTGATTTCCCCACACTAGAATATCTCCTGTGTCGTGGCTGTGTTTGCAAACATACAATTTCACATACACATTACATCTAGACCCAGAAAAACAAATTGTAGATCACACAAAAAGTTGTTCCTTGCGCGTTTAAACCCGCGGCACGTTGCGCGGCAGCCAGTTGCCCAGCCACCACGCCAACCATACTTATATTTTATCCAGTCATATAATTTATCCAGGTTATAACCTACCTACATATCAAGTTTCAATCAAATCGGTCCAGACGTTTTTGCGTGTAAGAATAACAAACATACATTCTCACAAACTTATAGTACTCGTAGGATATAAAGTATTTGTAGGCTCTTACATGTATGAATAGTTGGCATCGCATTCGAGAAGAAGAGGAACAGAAGGAAGAAGAACAGACATCCAGTGTTTGACATCATTCGACCTGCGTCTGCGCCTGCGCCGTTGTATAATGCACCCAGCAATAATGCCACGACGAAGTGACATATCAGCCGAATCTGTAAATATATATAGGAATTATATTTTCTTTATTTATTTTATTATCAAAAATAATTTATTTGATTATCTAAAATAATGTTTACATGCTTTGATCTGTAAGAATGTAGCATCACTTAAACCTCCTTGGTTTGTGTGTGATACTTCACAAAGTCTCTCAAAATAATTTAATTAAACGTTGTATTATATTTATATTTTGTATGTTAATTCCATTTGAAATCATAGAATATAAGAAATCTATTTAAGTGTTTTGATATTTTTTTAAGTCAAAACTAAGACAATAGCACTAAGTCTGATAGTTTACTACTTTATTTAGGTGCTACGCTTTCTCTCCTCTTAGCACAATGGGTATTTTAACATTGTTGGTGGAAGTGAAGAGACGATAATCGCACTTAAAGTGCACTACTGTTCAATTATTGATCACTAGCTGTGCCCCGCGATTTTACCCGCGTAGTTTAAAGCCTACGTCCACCATGTTGATTAGGTATATTTTAGGGATATCAATAAGTATTCGCACCTGTGTCAAGTAAACATCTCTAACCACTCCTATGTAACACCTCCATAGAAGGGCACTGAGCTGCTGACACACGCTGGCGGCGTATCCATTCGAAGGTGTAGGACTTGGGTTCAGCAGAGCTACAGATTCTGGTGATAAATCTGGAAATAAATTAAGTAAAGATTAGTAACAAAGCAATCTATACTAATATTATAAATGCGAAAGTAACTCTGTCTGTCTTTTCTTCACGCCTAAACTTCTGAACTGATTTCTGAGAAATTTGGTACTCGACAAACATAGGATAGGTCATTTAACTCCAGGAAATCACAATTCCACGCGAACGGACAGGTACAAGCGACATTAATCCTTTACAAACCTACGTCTAAGCAGACCCATCTGCAATTCATTATAAAAACAGATCCTGTTTTTCTAGCGGTTGCCGTAAGAATATGTTGCTTAGGTAATAAATAATCTTTCCATTTCTATCTAAGTATAATTTTATACTAAAGTCAGTACCTGTTCCTTTTCCATTGCAAATTTCGTTCTTTGCAATCTTGCTCATCTCGTGAGCGTAACTGTTGGCTTCGTGTTCCAAGAGATTCATGTCTCCAGGGTGCTCGTTGCTTGCTACTTCTAACACTGGAAAAATAACACTATGTATAAAGTAATACTATCCATTAAGCGATGTAAGTACCTAATTCCTTGTTCCATTTCACAAGCCTAACCTAAACCTATACCAAAAATTGCCTGAGAATGTTTTTAACGAGTAATTTATTTATTAAATACAATAATTGTTAGATACACATCATTGTAATGTAAGCAGAAATATTTTGACAAACTTTTGTATGTTTCTTAATGCATTGTTATGATGATATACTCACAATAATCAGCTATATTATAATACTGTGGGCACATGAAGCCTGCTCTTGTGAGTGCACTGGGAATGTCGGCTATGGCTCCCGCGTATAACGACCGGCCATTAGCCAACACAATGACGTCATCAGCTATGTTGAAGAGTTGTGATGAAGGTTGGTGGAGAACGCAGGCTATAGTTCTCCCGCTGCGGGCGACTGTGTGAAGAGCCCTGGCCACGGACAATGACGAGACAGCATCTAATCCACTGAAAAAGTAAATAAAATTTTGTATTATTTTTTTGACTAGGTTGAGAAAAATGTTTGCGTCACGCTGCTACGATAAATTTGTGTTAGAAATTATCGTAGAGGGTCTACGATGTTTGCTACGAGTTAGGAATCTATAGTAATTTGTGTTTTTTTGTAACGTACAAAACGTTAAATTGATTAGGTACGTAGTACGTACCTACTTATAAATCAAAATGTTTTTGATGTTTTGCTGTAAAATTTTGCGTCACAGCTTTTTATTTTTTTATTTTTTTGGGATAAAAATACAGCACAAACGCAACACAGCTTGTTAGTAAGTACAATCGAAATGACTTAAATCTAGTTGTGATCATTTACTTTTGTAATGTGTACAAATGAGCACTTTCGACATATGGCAAATGCATTTACGAAGAATTACTTAGTCTTTTAGCAGTAAAGCTTACCTGGTAGGCTCATCCAACAGCATGATAGTAGGATCTGTGAGCAACTCGCAGGCTATTATCAGCCTTTTTCGTTCTCCACCTGACAGTCTACCGGCTCTGGTGTTCAGGACATCATGTATACCTAGCTGCTTCGTTACTGTAGTGATCTGCAACAATAGTATCTATGTAACGTAAGTTTAACATGATGTTTGTTTCTTTATGCTTAATATAAGTAGGTACATTTTCTTTATCACGCGCATCTTATGTTTCTTTTTTTTTTTGGTATGTGTACTCAGGCTGTTATACCTATACGTATGTACGATTATCGAGGTAACTACAAATCAATACTACTTACACTAGCAAACTAAAAGTTTGGCGTGCGTTCGTGCAGCGGAATGTTGTTGAATTTAAAGATTTTAATTATGCAGATATTTAGTGTATGACGTCGTATAATTGTGTATGGTAAAAAAAAATTTGTGCACGCAACCATTGTGGAGAAATTCACCGAAAACTGATTCCGCTGGGCGAACGTTGTCCTGGCGGAACTTTTTTTAATCCATAGACTTTAGAAGAAAAGAGATGTATCCAAAAATTAGTGTGTATTTGTGTGTAATTGTGTATGTATGAATAAAACTAGTGCATGCATAGTAACAACCCATCAGTCGCTTCGTCAGATCTTAATAAAAAGATCTCAAAGCTGATAAGACGTGATCTCCGAAGCGCCAATACTCGCGCTATAAAAGAAGCGATTGAGCGAAACCGGGGGTCAAAAGTCTTCAGCCAGCAATTAAATCGAAGCCATCTGACGAAGTTGACCACACCGGATGGTAATATCGTCTCTTCTAAGCCGGAAATTCTCGAGGAGGTTCGGCGCTTCTACGGTGATCTGTACACCTCAAAAGCACCGCGTCCATATCGAGACTCGGGGGATCCTAGGGCCACACTTATCCGCCACTTTACCGAAGACATGCCAGAGATCAGCCAAGACGAGATTGCGTTGGCTTTGAAGCAGCTTAAAAATGGAAAAGCCCCCGGAGAGGATGGAATTACAACGGAGCTCCTAAAGGCCGGTGGAAAGCCAGTGCTTGAGCGACTTAAACGCTTGTTTGATTCCGTTCTATTCTCGGGGAGAACTCCAAGGGCGTGGGGCAAAAGTGTCGTCATTATGTTCTTTAAAAAGGGAGACAAAACCCTTCTGAAGAACTACCGACCTATTTCTCTTCTGAGCCACGTCTATAAGCTGTTTTCCAGGGTCATAACAAATCGTCTCGCGCGAAGACTCGACGAGTTTCAGCCCCCTGAGCAGGCCGGGTTCCGAGGGGGATATGGTACCGTGGACCACATACATACAGTGAGGCAGATTGTACAGAAAACCGAAGAGTATAATCTGCCCTTATGCCTGGCGTTTGTGGACTACGAGAAAGCCTTTGATACTGTCGAAACCTGGGCTGTTCTGGAGTCCTTGCAACGGTGCCAAGTCGACTGGCGGTATGTTCAAGTGTTGAGAGATCTATATGATGCTGCCACTATGGTCGTTCAAGTACAGAACCAGCAGTCTGAACCTATCCACCTGCATCGGGGCGTAAGACAGGGGGACGTTATTTCCCCCAAACTGTTTACTAATGCTTTGGAGGATATGTTCAAGACGCTGCGCTGGAAAGGCCGGGGCCTAAATATTAACGGCAAGTATCTCTCACACTTGAGATTTGCAGATGACATTGTAATCGTGGCTGAAACCGTGCAGGACTTACAATATATGCTGAACAGCCTGGCTGATTCCTCTGCTCGCATCGGACTCCGGATGAACCTACAAAAAACGAAGGTCATGTTCAATGAACATGTTCTCCCGGAGCCGATCACCATCAATGGATCTCCTCTCGAGGTTGTTCAAGAGTACGTCTACCTCGGGCAAACTATCCAGTTCGGTAGAAACAACTTCGAGAGGGAGGCTCGTAGGAGGATACAGCTTGGCTGGGCAGCGTATAGGAAACTCAGTCGGGTATTCTCGTCAAAGATACCGCAAAGCCTGAAGACAAAAGTCTTCAATGAGTGCGTCCTACCAGTGATGACATACGGAGCCGAGACGTGGACACTTACAGTGCGACTGATCCACCAATTTAAAGTCGCTCAGCGAGCTATGGAAAGGGCTATGCTTGGAGTCTCTCTGAAGGATCGTATTCGAAACGAGGTGATCCGACAGAGAACTAAGGTTATCGACATAGCCCAAAGGATTAGCAAACTTAAGTGGCAGTGGGCAGGTCACATCTGTCGAAGAACCGATGACCGATGGAGTAAACGTGTTCTAGAGTGGAGACCACGTCTAGGCAAACGTAGTGTAGGGCGCCCTCCAGCTAGGTGGACTGACGACATCCGCAGGGTGGCTGGCAGTGGTTGGATGAGAAGAGCTGAACATCGAGCTCAGTGGCGTGCAATTGGGGAGGCCTATGTCCAGCAGTGGACGACAACAGGCTGATGATGATGATGAGTGCATGCATAAACTTCGGAGAAATTCAAGTTTCCGCTACGCGAACGTTTGGCCATTAGCTAGTTTTCATATAAAGCGCTTACATAGAGAGCTGTAGATTTTTACATACGTTGTTTTGAATTTGTGTATATTTGTTTAAACAACAGATTTAGAAAAAATCGTAGGGTTTAAAAGATAAAAATATAAACGTAAAATACGCTTATTAGGTCTTAGTTCTTAAAGTATGCACTTTGGGGTCTAGATTTTCACGTTTATACAAACCTTGTAAGTGTCTGCAACATGTTGCCAAGTATCAAGGATGTTCCGTTAGTAATTAAATAGTTATAGGACAAATTTACCATGAATAGATCACTGTTTACGAAGCAGTCAAATATCACGACTTCCTAAATGAATTGCATGGTAAAATGTATGCCAATAATTAGTGTATTCATTCAACTATTCACATGCAAAATTTCATGTCATTAAATTCAGTAATTAAAGAAAAACAATTATAATACTGACGAAGCATCGAAAACCTACATAACCCGACCAAGTTCGGATGGCTACAAAAAAGCGGCTGTGCAATATATTTAGGTAACATCCCAAAATTTACAGTATAATACCGGTATTGAATTGGTACAGGTGATAACACACTTGTTGTTTCGAAATAATTTATAGGTCATTTATTTTTGGACACCTACTTTTTTAAATGTATGTGACTATGACAGAAAGTAGGTACTTTATTTAAGTATGCGCTTGAGACTTGAGATTTATTCTAATTATATTTAAGACAAACAAAATTCATACAGCTAATTTCTATTGAAGATTTCACGGATCAGGATTCTAACTATAGACCCCTTAGAGAAATTAAATATTTACCACATGTAAGTATGTACTACTGTTTAGGTAAATATTTATCATATTGTAGCTTAATAAGCTATACACTATTTAACCAATATTATTTATTACACTATTTGACCAATAGACTAGGCATGCACGAGCGTGTGTACGATACTGTGTTTTATTTTTTCCTAACGCTTGTGTACGATACTGTACCATATTAATAAATGCTATATTGGAAAGTTAAGAACGTTTCTTAGATATACGGCACGGCCGCTTTTTTGTAGCCATCCGAACTTGGTCGGGTTATGTAGGTTTTCGGTGCTTCGTCAGTATTATAATTGTTTTTCTTTAATTACTGAATTTAATGACATGAAATTTTGCATGTGAATAGTTGAATGAATACACTAATTATTGGCATACATTTTACCATGCAATTCATTTAGGAAGTCGTGATATTTGACTGCTTTGTAAACAGTGATCTATTCATGGTAAATTTGTCCTATAACTATTTAATTACTAACGGAACATCCTTGATACTTGGCAACATGTTGCAGACACTTACAAGGTTTGTATAAACGTGAAAATCTAGACCCCAAAGTGCATACTTTAAGAACTAAGACCTAATAAGCGTATTTTACGTTTATATTTTTATCTTTTAAACCCTACGATTTTTTCTAAATCTGTTTTTTAAACAAATATACACAAATTCAAAACAGCGTATGTAAAAATCTACAGCTCTCTATGTAAGCGCTTTATATGAAAACTAGCTAATGGCCAAACGTTCGCGTAGCGTAAACTTGAATTTCTCCGAAGTTTATGCATGCACTAGTTTTATTCATACATACACAATTACACACAAATACACACTAATTTTTGGATACATCTCTTTTCTTCTAAAGTCTATGGATTAAAAAAAGTTCCGCCAGGACAACGTTCGCCCAGCGGAATCAGTTTTTGGTGAATTTCTCCACAATGGTTGCGTGCACAAATTTTTTTTACCATACACAATTATACGACGTCATACACTAAATATCTGCATAATTAAAATCTTTAAATTCAACAACATTCCGCTGCACGAACGCACGCAAAAGTTTGTTTGTAGTAAGAACTTAGACCGGTTGATTGTTTCTTTGAATAAACCTCGAACGTGAACGTAGTTAGGCTAGCGTTCATTCTTCAAGGAACTCGAATTTTCATAACATACAAATTATCAATATCTAATACTCTACAATATTGTGAACACTTTCTTTTGCTTTTTAATTATCTAATTGTAACCCAATACTGGAACTTTCTTCTATGTCTTAGGTGCGTTTACAATACGTTAACAATATAAGTACATTTGATCACACCCAGGCTCGAAACAACAATCTGTGGATAACACAGTTTCTACTAAGCGCCGGTTTAGTTCGTTTAGATACAAGACGTTATAAAAACATATTTGCTAACTTATACCTAGAATTTCATCAATTAAATTAAAATTACACACATAAATATTAAATTAACATTAGCACGCCAGCGATTTCCTAAACACTTTTTTAGCTCTCTATAACCTCAAGTCATTTATAACAACAAAGGAGAAACGGATTAGAATGGCATTTAATATTTACCGCATTTGTTCTTTCCCTATGCGAAACATTGGGCAGCTTGAGACTTGCAGCAAACTTGAGGGTCTCTCCAGCAGTGAGTGTGTCAATGAGGGTTGTATCCTGAGCCACCAGCACGGAGCTGCGACCTGCACCGTACAAACATCCAGTTACACCTGTCTTTCTGTAACAAACGCTTTCTATTATTTAGGAAACAAAGTAAATGACGCGCCCTTTCGAAAAAATGGTTTATTTTTTATTTATTTATACCTAAGGTAGGCTCACAGCCTATGTATACAAAGTAGTTAAAAGTATTAGTTATATCAAAATGAAATGAAATGAATGAAAAAGCGTTTATTCACAATTACAGTAAATTTACAAAAAAAAAATATTACTTCTGCCAAACTGTAAAGCATATACAGTACCTAGGTCTTATACATTAGGCAGTAGCGAACTAACCAACATTCTTAAAATTATGTGTTTGTACAGACAATATATATATTTTTTTAATCGGATTATATTGAATTTATTTTCCTCCGCGATATGGATGCAGGTTGCCTGCAAAGATCGACCTGGACGTCACAAAGGGACCTATGTTCAGTAACGAGTGTTTTATAGTTGATATGCTGACGATGATTATGTCTCATCTCATGTGTAAGCAAAATTACCTTATTAAACTGATATTTTATTGATCGACAATTTGAGTTACGATATAACGATTTACTTCCTGTTTTATATTTCTATGATACTATTTCCATGTGTATGATAATGACGAATAAATCTGCAGTCATCATCCTTGCCATGATTATAACACCCGTCCTTATATTATGCGTCTTTGCGAACCAACAGGGAATCGATGGCTACACATAATATAATGTAGGTAGGTATATAATATAATGGCTTATTTCCCAGGTTGTACGTAGGCAACTAATATTCACGCAGGTAAAAAATGATGTCAGACAAAATCAAATTTGCATTTTGAATACAGCAAACTAACATGGCGATTTCAATTCGATATTTTGGTTCAATGTTGCAGGTGTTTTGTAAACCAGCTCTGCTTGGTGCTTGCGACTTTCACTTCATAGGACAAGGTGGTGTTTATTAAGATGCCGTTGATGATGCGTCCATCAAACCGAATTAAATGAACGTTTTCGAAAATCACTATTTGCGAGATAATAAATATATGTCTTTAAAATTGTCATTTTCTAGTTTTAAATTTCCAATCGGATTGAAGTCCATATTTATAAGTGTTCCGTGATCGACTGCCAGTGTCAAAATTTTGAATTTGGAAGCCGTTCGAATCGTCTGCGAATGGGCAAAATGGCGTCCATTTTTTGGGCGATTTTGTCTCTGCTGATGCTTAAGTAGATACATGCGCCGGAATGACACAGTCAGAACAGTGTTATTTGCAATAATGTCTACATATGCATGTGACTTTATGTTTGAAGTAATTAAAGAATATAAATTGTCCCCATATTTGGACACACAAAACCAAGGCATGGTAAAGAGAGATGCTTTGTTGGCGTTGTTTAAAACAAAGCATCTGACACAAACGCCTTATATTAAAGCCTTATACACAGAAACAATTTTAAATCATTGGTACTTTCTGATAGCGTGCTATTTTCGATGTGCCTGCGCGTAGGTACCTACGCCGTCAAAATGGAAATAAGTTAATGTGCTTATGATAGGGTATATTTTGTTTGAGTTTGAGGCTTTTGGCTACTGGGACATTAGAAACTCGGACCGCGGTCCCAATAAAAATAGAAAATATTTGATTCCGGCGAATGGGACCACTCATAATTAATAATAACTGAATTAAAAAAAAATGTACAGTTAGCCTCTATGATTTTATTGATTGAATAAATTGACATAAAACATATCTAAGTAAATGAACTGAAGTACCTCCAAATGCATTCCATACATTAATTCTAAACAGACTATTATCATGTAACTATACTTTTTGCATCCTTATTACAGGTTGTTTAAGAATATAAATTTAACAATTAAACTTACAATAAACAAAACAAATGAATTTGTGAGACACAATGATGTTGAGAATGTTGTGTGAAAAACAAAAAAATCACGTATGTAATTATATAATAAACGTATGAGAATTAAGTTTGCCTAAAAAATATAATTACTTATGCACTTAGATCATTATTTTATCATTACAAGCTAATTGCTCCCATGTACGAATGTTATTCGTAAGTTTTACTGATAATGAAATATACAATACCTATATGTGAACACCTAAACACAATCTTTTTAGCATTTAAATCGAACGTAAAATAAAATAATATTTTATATGAAATGTTCTTTTGTAAAATACAAATTTATTTTTAATTTATTCTATATATTATAGCAAAAAATGCCTTCTTGATGTTTGAAACACGTTGTTAAATTCATCATTTATTTGCAACAAAGAATTAATTTGGAATCTAATTAAAAATTTGTAATAGCCGAAAACGATAAAAATATTATTTATTTTCGTGACTGGCATTTTAAGGTTCCGTCTCGTATTTTAAGATTAATAAAATAATTTAATAAATGGAAATAAGTGAACACATGAGAACTATTATGTCACAAACAATATTTTGAAAGACAGAAACAAGTTTGCAAAAATTCTTACTTCCTTCCAGCGAGGATTTTGAGTAATGTGGTCTTGCCGGCACCAGAAGGTCCTAGGATGAAGGTCATCCGCCCAGGTCTGAGGGCACCCGATGCTCCCCGGAGTATGACATTTGAATCATTGAAAATATCATCTGTTACAGCTTTTTTCTTCCGCCAAACGCTGCCTGTGAATATAAAAGAGCCTTTGTGACTAAAAGCATGTTAGTGACTGGGGCCAGTATAAGCCCGAATGCTAAGGGAGGCTAGAATTTGAAGGGGATAGGTTCTTATTATTTTCCATTTTATGTACCCATTGTCAGTATAAATCTTACCTCTTTGATGTTTCATTGTCAGATAACGGAGGGGATTTAATGCATATTTAATTTAATGAACTTTATGGGGCATAGAAACAATATCTAAATACTTCAATTAAATTAACAAGATTTGTGTTAATGAAAAACAATTCTATTGGAAGAAAACACAGAACTTAAGTTAGATATAAGTTGTATTTAAGTGGTCGCGTAATGTAGGTAGTTGCCCAAACAGGTATGTACACAGTTTTTATGTACATTTTTGGATTTGACAAACAAAAGATCAAAGACCGCCAGATAGGAACGTGAATGGAATACCGCAGTTTATTTTGGTTTAAGATTTAAATACAAATGATTGAGAATCTCAATAATTTTTGCTGTGATCTCTAACCCTACGAGTATCAGGTGGAGATTGTTGGAAACACTCTTAAACAGGGGGAATCCATAAGCTAACAGCGAAGGGTCACAAGAAGTTGGTGTTGTATGGAAATCACCTTGGTAATATGGCAAAGATCTGCTTTTTCAAACCATAATCCTTTTTGAAGGTCAAATTTTTCTGATGTGTTTATACTTGTGCAACAGGTTTGGTTCTACCTCATTTTTTTTTGTAAAACGTACTTGTTTTGATTTGTAGGTATATTGATATAGAGAATAAATCATTTAATGTGTAGGTAATGTATGATTGTACTCCGTAAAGATACCTATGTACGAGGTATTTTTTCTTTCGCTATATAATTTGGGATAATATTAAGAAATTTTAGATGACGGAGCATTCATGATCCAAATCAGCACTTCTTTGTTTTGATAGCTTCCTTAATTCATCAAACTCCAAGCGTTCATGTACCTCTTAATTATCTTTTTAATTCCAAAACACTAAGCCATACCTACTTTGTCCTGTCACACACATCAGACCCAGAATCAGAGCAATAGGAATAGGAACAGGGGGGGTTTGTAGTCAGTAAGAGTCTGACACTCTCTCTCGCCTTACCCTGGGCGATAGAAGTCATTTGATAACAACGAATAAATACAGCAACAAACAAACAAATTGTTTAATGCAGGAATCGAACTCGCTACAAGTTGAACATTAGTAATTTGCCCAGCAACTGCCCCAACTGTGCAATGGAATTATTTATTTATATTCTACATGTATATTTTCCAATCACTTTAGTGATTGGTATGTTTAAAATAATTATCTTGGATTACATGCGTGTTATAATTTAGGTAAAATATTTTTAATTTGTTGACAATGATTGATTAAAATTATCTTTGTGAGTTTATAAAAATATGTGTGTCATCATATATACATATTATGACGTTACGTGTATGTACTACAATTGTCGTACAGGATGTTTCTGTGTAGTTATAATCAAATCTACAATTTGATTAACTAGAGTTGCGCCTTGTGTATTCATTCATTGTGTGCACTATGTGGTTTTACCAGCTATTTTGTGTAAAAATATATGTGTAATAATGTTTGACAGATCCCTGTTGAGTCTTTAAGAGGTTTTTGCTTTATTAATTACTTACATTGGAAGTAAGGAAATAGCATCTTTAATATCTTAAGAATTCATTTAACACTTGCAGCAGCAATGATGCTTTAGGAGTGCTATGTATTTATTAACCCGTGATACCGCCGGAGCGCAGATCCACGCAAGACACAATGTGTTTCCTATTGTCATATACCGATATATTATTCATTTTAACCTCTTGTCTGCAAGAGGTTAAAATGAATAAATATCGATTCTATTTAATCTATAATCTAAAGTCTATATATATGTTACGGCTAAAGGTCGGTGTGAACCTAAACTTAAGATTAGCCGGTTAAACTTAGGTTTATCTTAGAGAAGCAGCTAAAGTTCGATAACATGTTAGTTTGCGTCGTGATATTCCATCTTTAGCCGGTTAATGTGCACATTTACCGAAACGAAACGGCTAAAAATGTATTCGATAGGCGCGCCGGGCCGGCGGAAGGCTTAAGGGGGCGCGGGCGGTGGGGAAAGTTTTATTTTGTAATTTTAAATACCTACAGAAGATTCTGTAATGACCAAATGGTTCCTTATTATTTTATTTTAATGATTAGGTTAATATTGTTTTAACGACGACACGTTTGGTCTAGTGGTTAGTAACGCTAGTCACAAGACCAAACAGTCGCGGGTTCGAATCCCGCTAGGGGCAGATGTTTGTGTGATGAGCACGAATATTTGTACCCGAGTCATGGATGTTTGTCATATTTATGTATGTTTATCCGTTATCTAGTATCCATAGTACAAGCTTTGCTTAGTTTGGTACTAGGTTATTAGTGTGAATGTAAAAAAAAAACTAATTAAAATTTTGTAATTGTAATAATTGTTACTTTGAATACCTACATAGTACATAAAAGTATGTGTAATGAAAGTGATTATTTTTTAATAAAGTTTTCGTGTCAAAATAGTAAACATTATTACATTATTTGCTTTTCCATTTCCTTCTACATTTTTAGCCAAGGACCTGCAGCTACACCTAAGTTTAGCCGGCTAAAGATAGAACAAACTAACATTAACATTTCGTCGAAGATAAACCTAGGTTTAGCCGGCTAATCTTAAGTTTAGGTTCACACCTACCTTTAGCCGTAACATATATATATACTTAATATATCGTAAAGCTTAAATCTCGAAAACAGATGAAGCGATTTCGCTGTTTTTTTAAGAAGATAATTGTTATGATTTATATGGGTTGGGTAGGCACAGTAAAATAAGCAAACTAGAGTAGGATTTGAGCTCTGTAGAGTGGAGTGGTAACGAAGCTGGGTGCAAAAGATTAAATACAAATTAATATTACTGTTTAAGTACTCTTCAAAAACATAATGCGATTAATGTGAAAAAATCGATTGACAACAGGCTACCACGACGATGCTTGCTGATGTGCGCGATGACAGATGATTTTCAAATTAATGTACCTAAGTATGTATTTTAATCCTTATGTATCTTAATCCTTTTGGGTCTTTTCCATTCCTAACAAATATCTCTAATTTAGAGATTAGATAGGTATATATATCATGCATATAATATTTTACATATTTTATGCATGATGCTATGCCGTTTTTTACTTCCACACACGAAAAGTACAAAATGATTTTCAGACGAATAATTTATTTTTTGTTTAATAAATCGTTCCGTTTTATGGTCTGTTGTTTTCTGTAAGTGAAAAAAACGTCATGATTTTTGAATGTGTAAACTTTGGAAACTCAGAATCATATAGAATGTAGTATTTGATGTATTTTTGTGAGATGGTAAAATGTCAAATCAAATGTCTTCCCTCGCCTTAGATGGGGTGAGAGGGAACGAACTAGTACCGTCAAATAATTTTATAATTTCACTTGCCCTCTGAACATAACTTACTTACCCGTTAAAATCAACCATACAGCCAATTACGGATTTACAATTTTATAATTTTACATATTATTATGTATAATTGCTACAGAACAGATAACTTTATACGCTAGTGTTATTTAAGTTTTATGGTTTTAAATGTTAAAGGATTGTACACGACAAGTATTGAATGAATGTTGTTTGACTTTGAAATTGGGCGAGCGTGAGGGTCAGACTCTTACTGACTAAAAACTACCTCGTTCCTTCTCCTGCTTCAGGCCAGGGTACATTTCTGACTCGTAACCTGAGGGTATTTGATGGCTAATAACCACATTGAATGTGATGCATACTGTGCAATAACGAATGTGTGGACATCCTTCAAACAATAAGTGTATTCCTTTCTCTCTATGGCTTGTCTGACTAAACAATGGGTTTGTTCAGCCCATTAAGGATTGCATCGGATAGTATCGTTATCAAAATACCTTCAAGGATATATATAGGTGGTATACCCTTGTTGGTATTTCAATAATCGAGCTAAGCAATAACGATTGTGACTCCGTCCGTAGTACCACTACGGACGGAGTCACAAACACAATACAATCCCTAAATATATCTTTATACGAGTAGGATTAGCCAATTTACGAATGGCGAAAAAGAACACATACAAGTGCCTCATCTGAACACATCTGTCATAAGAATGTAGGTAATATTTATCCTTATGGGGTTAGTACACTATGACATCACTACAGTTGCAGGACATTTTAGGAATCTCCAAATTATTTTTTTATTTTCGTGCGTAACTTGGCATTGTCACAACCTGTTCTGTGGTCACAACTCAACACAAGTATTTCTACATCTTCAGAAATGGACAAATTTAAGTCTGATTTGCATCTAATGATATAACTTAACTGGCGAAATATCATTATTCATCGAAGTTTATAACTGATATTTTGCTTCACTGTTTTTGTCATTTATTGTAATAAACTAACGAGTTCAAAATTGCAATGTCAGAAAACACGTCGGCAATGAAAACTCACGAAATTTGGAAAGTAATACGGTAGTTTTTAACTTATTTCTATAGTTTGGTTGTAAAACTTGTGAGGTTGGTCTTTAAAACGTTTATTTACCATGAACATAAATTGTATAATTTTATAACATTAACAATTTTGGAGTAGGTATCTAGTTTTTATTTCTTGTATTGTCTGAACAAGGCAATCACAATGTCTATAATACAATTTTTAGTAATAAATGTTTATTTTTGATATTTCCAACATTAATTAGTGTTAGTGTCATATATTTTTATTTCTTGTCATTAATATGCCTTAATATTATACTAGGTATAAGTTTTTATATTTTGTCTTTTCATCTTTGCGTTAGTACGTAGGTATACTGTAGTATATAGGTATTTGTACGTATTTATAACATTTTACTGACTTGCTAATTGTATTCAACGTTGTTTTATTACTTTAAAAATAAATATACGTATATTTAGGTACTATTGTTCGATATTGACAGTCATATGTATCC